CTAGATACATATAAACTACCAAAACTGAACCAGGAAGAAATAGAAAACCTGAACAGACCCATAACCAGCTAGGAAATTGAAGCAGTCATCAAAAATCTCCCAACAAACAGGAGCCCAGGGCCAGTAGGCTTCCCAGGGAAATTCTACCAAACATGCAAAGATGAAATAATACCTATTCTCCTGAAGCTGTTTCAAAAAATGGAAACAGAAGGAAAGCTTCCAGACTCATTCTATGAGGCCAGCATTACCTTGATCCCAAAACCAAAGACCCCACCAAAAAGGAGAATTACAGACCAATATCCCTGATGAACATGGATGCAAAAATTCTCACCAAAATACTACCCAGTAGAATCCAACTGTGCATTAAAACGATTATTCACCATGACCAAGTGGGATTTATTCCTGGGCTACAAGTTTGGTTCAACATCTGCAAATCAATCAGTGTGATACACTACATAAATAAAAGAAAGGACAAGAACCATATGATCCTTTCAATAGATGCAGAAAAAGCATTTGACAAAGTATAGCATCCTTTCTTGATTGAAACTCTTCACAGCGTAGGGATAGAGGGTACATACCTCAATATCATAAAAGCTGTATATGAAAAGCCCATAGCAAATATCAGTCTCAATGGGGAAAAACTGAGAGCTTTCCCCCTAAGGTCAGGAACACAGCAGGGATGTCCACCATCACCACTGCTGTTCAACATAGTACTAGAAGTCCTAGTCTCATCGATCAGACAACAAAAAGAAATAAAAGGCATCCAAAGTGGAAAAGAAGTCAAACTCTCACTCTTTGCTGATGACATGATACTCTATGTGGAAAACCCAAAAGACTCCACCCCCAAATTGCTAGAACTTATAAAGGAATTCAGCAAAGTGACAGGATACAAAATCGATGCACAGAAATCAGTTGCATTTCTATACACTAACAATGAGACAGAAGAAAGAGAAATTAAGGAGTTGATCCCATTTACAATTGCAACCAAAACCATAAGATACCTAGGAATAAACCTAACCAAAGAGGCAAAGGATCTGTACTCAGAAAACTATAGAATACTCATGAAAGAAATTGAGGAAGGCACAAAGAAATGGAAAAACGTTCCATGCTCATGGATTGGAAGAAAAAGTATTGTTAAAATGTCTATGCTACCTAGAGCAATCTACACATTCAATGCAATTCCCATCAAAATACCATCCACTTTTTTCACAGAACCGGAACAAATAATCCTAAAATTTGTATGGAACTAGAAAAGACCCCAAATAGCCAGAGGAATGTTGAAAAAGAAAACCAAGGCTGGTGGCATCACAATTCCAGACTTCAAGCTCTATTACAAAGCTGTCATCATCAAGACAGTATGGTACTGGCACAAAAACAGACACATAGATCAATGGAACAGAACAGAGAGCCCAGGAATGGACCCTCAACTCTATGGTCAACTCATCTTCAACAAAGCAGGAAAGAACATCCAATGGAAAAAAGACAGTCTCTTCAACAAATGATGTTGGGAAAATTGGACAGCCACATGCAGAAGAATGAACCTGGGCCATTTTCTTACACCATAGACAAAATTATAGACTCAAAATGGATGAAAGACCTACATGTGAAACAATAATCCATCAAAATCCTAGAGGAGAACACAGGCGCAAGCTCTTTGACCTCAGCCACAACAACTTCTTGCTACACACGTCTCCGAAGGAAAGGGAAACAAAAGCAAAAATGAATTATTGGGTCTTCATCAAGTTAAAAAGCTTTGCACGGCAAAGGAAATAGTCAACAAAACTAAAAGGCAACCTACAGAATGGGAGAAGATATTTGCCAATGACATATTAGATAAAGGGCTAGTATCCAAGATCTATAAAGAACTTAGCAAACTCAATACCCAAAAAACAAATAATCCAATCAAGAAATGGTCAGGGGACACCTGGGTGGCTCAGTCAGTTAAGCATCGGCCTTCGGCTCGGGTCATGATCCCAGAGTCCTGGGATCGAGTCCCGCATCGGGCTCCCTGCTCTGCGGGGAGCCTGCTTCTCCCTCTGCCTCTGCTTCTCTCTCTGTCTCTCATGAATAAATAAATAAAATCTTAAAAAAAAAAAAAAGAAATGGTCAGAAGACACAAAGAGACATTTCTCCAAAGAACACATCCAAATGACCAACAGACACATGAAAAAATGCCCAACATCACTTGGCATCAGGGAAATACAAATCAAAACCACAATGAGATACCACCTCACACCAGTCAAAATGGCTAAAATTAAGAAGTCAGGAAACAACAGATGTTGGCAAGGATGCAGAGAAATGGGAACCTTCTTACACTATTGGTGGGAATGCATGCCAGTGCAGCCACTCTGAAAAACAGTATGGAAGGTCCTCAAAAAGTTGAAAATAGAGCTACCCTATGAACCAGCAATTTCACTACTGGGTATTTACCCCAAAGATACAAATGTAGGGATCTGAAGGGGCACCTGCACCCCAATGTTTATAGCAGCAATGTCCACAGTAGCCGAACAATGGAAAGAGCCCAGATGTCCATCAACAGTTGAATGGATAAAAAAGACGTGGTATCTGTATGTAATGGAATATTACAGAGCCATCAAAAAAAAAAAAAAGAATCGACTTTTGCAATGACATGGATGGAACTAGAGGGCATTATGCTAAGTGAAATAAGCCAATCAGAGAAAGACAATTATCATATGGTCTCATTGATATGTGGAATTTAAGAAACAAAACAGAGGATCATAGGTGAAGAGGGTAAAAATAAAACAAGATGAAACCAGAGAGGGAGACAAACCATAAGAGACTCTTAATCGTAGGAAACAAACTGAGGGTTGTTGGAGGGGAGGTGGGTGGTCGGATAGGGTAACTGGGTGGTGGACATTAAGGCAGGCATGTGATGTAATGAGCACTGGATATCCTATAAGACTGATGAATCACAGACCTGTACCTCTGAAACCAATAATACATTGTATGTTAATTAATTGAATTAAAATAAAAAATAAAAACAAACAAAAAAGATTTTCTGGATATTTTGTGATTACCCAATACAAGGTCAATATATAAATATCAGTTTTATTCCTATATATTACCAAAAACAGTTGTAACTGGACAATGGAATTTGGAATAGCATAAAAATATGAAATGCTTAGGGATAAATGTATTCAACGATGTGCTAGATCTGTGCACTATACAACACTGCTGAGATAAAGACTGGAAGACATGAAGAGATTTACTGTGTTCATGCATTAGAAAACTCCATAAAACTCCATTTTGTTGAGATGGCAGATATTTTGAAGCTTCAACTTGCTTTTACCCTGCCTTATCTCACTCTCTTATGTTTGTGTCTTCAGTGTGTAGCTCTGTGCCTGGCACCAAGTAGGTGTCCAGTGTTCATTGAGTAAATGAATGAGGATTAAATATATAGGGAATAAATGAGTAAGTGCAGGAAGTAATCACAACTACCTAGGAGTGCTAGAAAAGACTTCCTTAAAGATGGACTAGGAATTCTATAAGCTATAACGAAAGGAGGAACATTAGACATAGAAATCCTCTTATGAGAAAACTGCATTTGTCTGCACTAGCTTGTGGTCGGTTTGTGGGAGACAGTGACCGTAAATGCCTTGGGGATATGGCCTGAGCTCGTGTTCTGAGGACCTTCTAATCTGTGCTAAGGAATTTGTATCTCATTCTTCAGAATGGAGATGGGGGGAGGGCACATTGAATATATTTAATAGGGGGGTTCCCTCATTCATGTTTTAAAATATGGAACACAGGGGTGCCTGGGTGACTCAGTCGTTAAGCGTCTGCCTTCGGCTCAGGTCATGATCCCAGGGTCCTGGGTTTGAGCCCTGCATCAGGCTCCCTGTTCAGCAGAGAGCCTGCTTCTCCCTCTGCCCCTGCTTGTGTTCCCTCTGTTGCTGTCTCTCTGTCAAATAAATAAAATCTTTAAAAATTTAAAAAAATAAAATAAAATACTGAATACCTGCTCTGGACCAAGGCTTGCGTTCAATACTAGCATAGAACTGGTAAAGACAGAAACAATCCCTGCTTCAGTTATAAAACTGTCATACTAATGATGAGAACTATCTTTGTATCAGGCACAAAGTCCAATTCTTGTGTGTGGTTTTTTTTTTTTTTTTACAACAGCTCAGTTAGATGTTATTAATTTCACTAAATGTGAGGGGTTAAAGAAACTAAGAAACGAGACTCCCATTTAAATACAGACCATGACTAAAATAAATTTTTTTATTAAGGTACCGTTAAGAAAAAAATTAGATCACACATTTAAAATGTAGAGTTTAGGGACACCTGGGAGGCTGGTCAGTTGGGCCACACTGACTCTCGCTTTCTGCTGGGGTCATGATCTGGGGGGGCATGAGAACAAGCTCTGGCTCCCTCTGCTCTTTCCCCTCACACCATGCTTTCTCTCTCAAATAAATTAAAAAAGAAATCTTTGTAAAATTCAATTAAAAATTAAAAACAATAAAACATAGCATTTAATGGGTTTCCACAAACGTATATATTTTGGCGTCATCACCAAGACATAAAACATTTCTATTACCCTAGAAGTTTCTCTTGTATCCCCCCTCAACCATTGATCTCATTTCTAACATTACTGGTTAGATTTGTCTTTAATAGTGTTTCTTATAAACAGAATTATGCAGTATGTACTGTGTCTTTCTGCTTTGAATTATCATGATTCAATTTTGACTTTCAGCCATATTGTGGTGCCTATCACCAGTTCATTTTTATTATTGTTGAATTCAGAGTTTTAAGGGAAAAGATATTAATCAGATAATCACCTAATTAAGTGGTTAATTACAATAGCATTAAGTTGACTAAAGGATAAGTACAGGTGAAGATATATTACCTTGTTTGTTGACAATTCAACCAAGATCATACATGGGGGGCAGGGGTATATAAGAGTACGATCCAGTATGTGGAAAATAAATTAAAGGGTATCTTAAAAGAATCCTATGCCCTTATTTTACGTCCCCACTTTTTAAAAAGTCAGTCCAGATGGAAAGTGTTATTCCATGGCCCTTTATACCTCCCCTTTACACACCGGAGAGAAAAAGTCTCCGTACGGCGCATGCGCCGCGCCCACCAAGTGTTGTGCGCAACAGCTGCCGTAGGCATTTCCACATCCGCGCAAACTGCGGAGAAGTCTGCGGCTCGGACTTGACTCTGCTTTTCGCCTACCCAATCCCGGGAGCCATGGCGGTCACGCGCGCGCCGGCACCCAGCAGGCCAGGCCCCGCCCATCACACACGTACTCCCACGAGCCCGGCCTTTGCCGCCCCATCTCCGGAGAAACTCCCGAGGAGCAGCCTGCGACTGCGCAGTGGAGCCGGTGGGCGGGGCGGGGAAATGCGGTTGCCGGGATGTGGGGCAGCCCCACAGGCTGGGAGCTGGACCGGAGATTAGGAGGCGCCGCGTTGTAGCGGGCCCTGGCCGGGAAGGCCGGCTCCCTTCCCTCAGCCATCGAAAATAAACTTTGCTGCTCTTTTCGGGGCGTTCTCGGGTCCGTCTCCCGGCGGCGCCGCTGTCGGTGAAGAGCTTTCGTGCGTCAGGGCTTCCCTCCTTCCCTCCGCCGGTGCGGGGCCTCGGCGCCATGGACGCCACGGCGCTGGAGCGGGACGCCGTGCAGTTCGCCCGGCTGGCGGTGCAGCGCGACCAGGAAGGTCGCTATTCCGAGGCGGTGTTTTACTACAAGGTAGGGCAGAGGACCGCAGCACCTGGAGAGGCCAGGGGGCGGGTGCAGGTGCGGCGGCGGCCCGGCCTTCTGGGCTTTGCTGTTCCTCTTCCTGCTCTGCTGCTCTCCTTTTCGAGGGAGAGGCGACCCGGCTGCTGCCACGGTGGGGAGGTGTGGTCGAGGTCGGGAGCCTCCACTTCTCTGGTTACGGTCTTCAGTGGCAGACGTCCACCGCTGAGCTACTTACGGCAGCAGTAGTTCGGTGTGGCTAGTTAAGTGACTAATTCTCGCTGTCACTTGGCTCTGACTTATGGCTTGTGGGAAGTGGTCTCTGATACACACTAAAATAATGCACGTTCGTTGAAGAAAATAAGGTTTTAAAAAAGAGTAACACGTCTCTTATCTTGGCATTTAATACATCTGTGCTGCTTTTTCTACGCGTATTTACATTCGCAGCTTTGAAAACATTTGAGTGTAGTTGACACACAATGTTACGTTAGTTTCAAGGGAACAACATAGTGATTCAACTTCTCTATACGTAAGACAAACTTGGATTGTACCGTTTATACTACTTTTAACCTGTTCTTTGTATTTGAGCTTTTAAAAACTCATTAAAGTTGCTTGTTTAATATAGTCTTATTAACGACAGATGCGTGGTATTCCATTATGTGAACGTACCATAATTTATTTATAAACTAATGGGCATTTAGGTTCATTCTGATTTTTCAGCATCGTAAGTAATGGTGCAGTTGTTATCTTTATAGATAATGCTTTACACATTTCTTGGCTCTTTCTTTTGGCTGAGTTACTGGGGGCGGAATTATTAAAGAATAGGATCTTCCACAGTCCACTCTGCTCTCCAGTCCTGCGGATTTGCATATACACCCCTCCAGCTCTGTGCCCTCTGCTTCCTTGTGGAGGTAGCTGTATCCTCGTGATTTTGTTCCCCCCACCCCCTTTTTTTAAAAAAAGGAAAAGAATGTCAGGCTTTGATAATAGCGGAGTAGTAAAATTTTTTTATATAAACGTATATGCGGTCAGTAAGGTATGATTTGTATTTCTCAGATTATATTATATTGCCTTCATTTTATAACCTATATTTAGAGACTTTTGGTGTGTTTCATAATCATTTCTTTTGGACTTTTTGAGGAAAGTTTCGTGAAGGTAGTATTTCTTTAAAAGTAAAATTCCATGTGTTTGAGTTTTGTGAAATAACTGACAAATATTCATAGGTTAAAATAGTGCCACATAAAATAGCTTTGTGTAAAGCAAAAGAAAATACTACGCGGTGCCTCTTGTTTTGCTGTGCCATTGCATGCATGTGATTATGAAGAATTTTTTTTTATCCTTGAGAAAGTCAGAAAAGTGTTTGTGCTTCTAGAACTGTTTATATAAACTTTACCAGATCTTTAGCATTTTTCGGTCTTCATTACTGTTCTATGAGGGATTCTTTAATTGTCATTTTCAAATATAAATTAAATGAGTAAAATAAGATTGATACCAGCAATTATTTAGTTGGCTTTATTTCTTTTAAGCAAGATAATTATTTGAATGTCAGTATTTACATCAAGGTAATTGGAGATGTGAAATATATATATATATAAACTATCAGTATTTAGATAATAGTACATAATAAAAAATATTTAATGTTTACGTGGAACACTACATCAAAAACTAATGATGTGATGTATGGTGATTAATGTAACATAATAAAAAAAATGAATCACTATGTTGTACACCTGAAACTAATGTAACATTTTGTGTCAACTATATTCAAATAAAAAATATTTTAAAAAGAAAAAAAAATGTTTACATGTAAAGTTATATTTTCCTCCCATGAAATGTCTGAGTTACAGAATCTGAGAATATCCTCTTTCCTATTCCCACAGCCTTTCAATGAATTTTCATTTCATTTCATTCAATTTCAGACTCTTTTTACTGATTTTGTTAAGTTCAGTGAAACAACTCCTGCTCCAACAACTGGATTCAAAAAGTTAAATATTCAGTAGATGGCTGGCTTCTTTGGATCCATCATGCATCAGCCTCTGTAAAGTGCACATGCTTAGGTTATTGCTGAGAAGGTGTTTTTACTTTGGAGAAATCTCTCAGTGGTCCTTCTCGCTGTAACACTGGTAACCTGTTATCCTAGAATGGTGATGGGGAGAGTGAGGCTCTTTCTTCCTCACTAGCCACAGCATAAGTGGCTGTGGGAGTATTAGAAAAACTGGATGATGAATCCAGGTTTTCTTAATTGAAATAAGTTTATTTCATACAACTGAAATCTGCTTTAAAATGTGTCACCCTTTGGCAATATTTTCTATGGAGAAGAAGATTTTCTTTCCACTGTGAGATATTTAGCCTTTATAATTTTTTTTTTAATTTTATTTTTAAGTACTCTCTACACTCAGTGTGGGGTTCAAACTTAAAACCTTGAGATCAAGAGTCTAATACTCTACTAACTGAGCCAGCCAGGCACCTTGACCTTTATAATTTATTATAATCTTCCTTTGACATTTAATTTTATTTGTTATCATTAACCAATTGACTATTTTTATTATTATTAACCAATAGTAACGAGTATTATTATTATATACCTGTCCTTATGCTTTTCAGGCTCAATTCATATTTTCAAGGTATATGATTTTAAGTCTGACCTATTGCGTAAAGAAAAAGGAAAGCAAAAGACATGTGAGCTAAAGCTATTCTAAGAAAATGTTTATAATCTCTTGTATTTGAGTTTGTAAATTTTCAACAGTATGAGAAAATTGAGAGTATTGAGAACTGAAGAAAAGGTGTTGGAGGGTTATATAACCTTCTTGGTACTGTCTTAAAGACATTCTTATTTTATAGTTCATAGACAGCAATAGTGAGTTACGAAGTGGTAGAGAAAATTCAGATTGTAATTCATCTGTTAGATTCCTTTGATTTTTTTTCTTTTTTTAGGAAGCTGCACAAGCCTTAATTTATGCTGAGATGGCAGGATCAGGCCTAGAACATATTCAAGAAAAAATAAATGAGTACCTGGAAAGAGTTCAGGCTTTGTATTCAGCAGGTTAGTAAAGGACTACTAAACTTACCATTTTTTTTTTCTTCTCTCTCATCACATCCTTTCCCCCTATGTTTCTCTTTCTTTTTTTTTAAATTTTTATTATTGAAAAAAGTTGACATACGGTGTTATATTAGTCCCTAGTGTTTCTCTTTCCTTTTCCTTTTCATCTTTAGATCTTGATCTTCACTCTTGCTGCTCATTCCTTTTTTGGTAATCATGTCTTTAAAAGTCATAGTGTGGCAGGAAGGGAAAAATGAAGGGGGGGAAATCGGAGGGGGAGACGAACCATGAGAGACTATGAACTCTGAGAAACAAACTGAGGGTTCTAGAGGGGAGGGGGGTGGGGGGATGGGTTAGCCTGGTGATGGGTATTAAAGAGGGCACATACTGAATGGAGCACTGGGTGTTATACACAAACAATGAATCATGGAACACTACATCAAAAACTAATGATGTAATGTATGGTGATTAACATAACATAATAAAATTTTTTAAAAAGTCATAGTGTGGAAATAAGTGATAAATCTGTTAATAGGAACCTTACGAATAATATAGTCTAATCTCCTAATTTCCCAGGGGTACAGAGATAATGAATTATATACATTCAAACTGTATCATTGTCAGAGTCAGGATTAGGACCCTGTTAAAGTCTACTTTTTCAATATCTGTCACATGCTGTCTCCTGATATTAAGATTAAATGACTACAGTTGACCCTTAAACGACAGGGATTTGAGCTGTGCAGGTCCACTTACATGCAGATTTTTTTTTGAAGATTTTATTTATTTGCGAGAGAGGGAGAGAACACAAGGAGGTAGAGGGGCAGAAGGAGAAAGACAAGGAGACTCCTCGCTGAGCAGGGAGCCCACCATTGTAGGGCTCCATCCCAGGACCCCGGAATCATGATGTGAACCGAAGGCAGACACTTAACCGACTGAGCCACCCAGGCACTCCTACGTGCAGATTTTTTACAGTACTGTAAATGTATTTTTTCTTCTTTATGATTTTCTTAATATTTTCTTTTGTCTAGCTTACTTTATCATAAGAATATAATATATAACACACATAGAAAATATGTGTTAATCAACTTAGGTTATTGGTAAGGCTTCTAGTAGGCTATTAGTAGTTAAGTTTTGGGGGAGTCAAAGTTAATATGCAGATTTCCGTCAGCGCCACTAATCCCCCACATTGTTCAAGAGCCGTCTTTACTTCCCTTTAGTGTTAAAGACTTCAGCAGTATGTTCATGGTCTCTTCTATATCCGTATCCTCAACCTCAAGACCTTAGCTAAACTCTTTTTTTAAAACCATATCTTGGAAAGCAACATGTAAGTAGAGACCTGGAACGACTTGTATTTATTTTTGTAAACAGCATGGCAAATGTCATGAAACAAGTACACAGGCTTAGTGATCACAGTTTTGTTAGAAGTATGTGGCTGCTGTCAAAATCTGCTCTTGACGTGGATAGAAAAGAAAATGATCACCTACTGGCATTTTGTTTTAGAAATGCATTTTTCTCACTGCGTTCTTTTTAACCCTTTTTTACTGTGGCTATATAATAAAGCCAGAAGCAGCTTAGAGGACTCTTTATTCAGCATTGCCTAATGGACTTAGTGTTACTTTTTACCACTCATTCTGAATAGATAAGAGCAGTTATAAGCACATCATTAGGAAAAAGTAGATTCCATCATTGGATTTCTTGTTAGAACGATACCCTTAAGGATGAGATAGTTTAGTTTAAGACAGTGCCCAGAAATTGGATGTATTGGAAAGTGAACTGCCTGTGTAGCACGGCCTCAGCTGATAGAAAGTTATATTGATTCAGGTATCCAAAATACCATGTAATTCAACGTAACTCCATTTTCCCAGCCAAATACATTTATAAAATATTTACAAAGGTGATATTTAGGCACGGAATGTAACAGCTCTCATCTCTTGAGAAATAAAGTTCCAGAAGGATTTTTAAAGCATAGCATACCTTAATTGTATTGCCAGCTTTTTGACCCATTATGTTCAACCTATGGAGTGTAATCTGTAGAGAATTAAATGGTTTCTTTAGCATTTCAGGCAATGTTTAAAACAAATTTTGCTGATAGACTCTTGAGAGTTAAGTTGATTTCTGAGTGGGGAAGGGTAACACAGTTTGAAATTCACCAGTGTAGTATAAAGAGCTCAAGACCTAGAATTACAAGATCTTGTAGCTTATAGCTACAAAACCTAGGCTAGATCAGTCATTCTCACTGGGAACAGTTTTGCACCTCGCAAGATTTTTGGTTTTTAGATTAGGGAGAAGTGGGGAGTATACTATGGCATCCAGTTGGGTAGAGGTCAGGAATCTTATTAAAAATCCTCCAATGCACAGGTCAGTCTACAGCAAAGAATTATCCAGCTGAACATGTTAGTAGTATGAGGCTGAGAAACCCTGGGCTATATATTTTTTGGGGGGGAGGGGGCTATATATTTTAATGTTTTGAGCTTTTGTGTCTTCATTTTGTAAATGGTAGATTAGCACATACTTCAGAGAGGTGTTTCTGAGAGTTAAAGTTCTAAAAGGTCACCACCATATCTTTAAGAGACAAAATATAAAGCTTTTTTTTTTTTAATAACAGCTTTATAGAGATATAATTCATGTACCATAAAATTCACCTTACTAGAGTATACAATTCAGTGGTTTTTAGTATGTTTCCTCTTATCCATTAGCAGTCATTCCCCATTCCTCCCACCCTCTATCCTCTTAACAGCCACTAACCTATTTTCTATCTCCCTGGAGTTGCCTATTTTGGACAGCTCATGTAAATAGAATCATCTAATTTGTGGCCTTTGGGGTTTGGCTTTTTTCATTTAACATAATGTTTTCAAGATTTATCCATGTTGTAGTATGTATCAATACTTCATTCCTTTTTATGGCTGAATAATAGTGCCGTCATATCAATATACTATATGTTGTTTATCCATTCATCAGTTGATGGACATTGGCTTGTTTCCACCTTTTGGCTGTTAATGAATAATACTGCTTTGAACGTTCGTATATATGTTTTTGTGTGGACATGGGTTTTTAGTTCTCTTTCTCTTTGATACATGCCCAGGAGTGAAATTGCTGGGTCATATGGTAGCTTGATATCTAATTTTTCGAGGAACTGCTGAACTGTCTTCCGAAGTGGCAACACCATTTTACATTTCCATCAGCAATATATGAGGGTTTCATTTCCTTCACATCCTTATCAACATTTGTTATTTTCTGTCTTTTGTAATTTTAGCCACCCAAGTGGGTGTAAAGGTGGCATCTTAGGTTTTGATATGCATTTCCCTGCTGGCTAATGTTGTTGAGCATCTTCTCATGGGCCAATTGGCCATTTGAATATCTTCTTTGGAAAAATGGTTATACAGACTCTTTGCCCATTATGTAAGTCAGGGTTCTCCAGAGAAAAAGAACCAGTAGAATATATATAAAGAGATTTTATATAAGGAATTGGCTTATAATGGAACCTCATTATGGAGGCTAAGAAGTCCCACACTCTGCAGTCTGCAAGCAGGAATGACCCAAGAAAGCCAGTGGTATAGTTTATTTAGTCCAAGTCCAAAGGCCTGATGAGCAGGGGAGTTGATGGTGTAAGACCCAAGTCCCAAGGGCAGGAAAAGACCAAAAAAAAAAAAAAAAAAAAAAAAAACAGTCTGGCAGAGAAGGCAAATTCTCCCTTCCTCTGCCTTTTTGTTCTGTTCAGTCCCTCAGTGGATTAGGTGATACCCACCCATATCGGGGAGGACAGTCTGCTTTTACTACCAATTCAAAGGTTAATTTCATTCAGAATCACTCTCTTAGACATACCTAGAAGTCATGTCTAGCCAAGTATCTGGGTACCCAGTAAAGTTGACACAAGTTGACATGATTGCTCACCACACTCATTTTCAAAATTGGAATTGTCTTTTTATTGTTTACTTGTAAGAGATCTTTGTATATAATCTTGATACAGGTCCCTTATTGATATATACCTTTATATTAAAAACAAATACTTATTTCAAAGAACAGTAAAAATATGTGATTATTTAATCTGGACTCAGATGAATGGGAAACAGCAGGAACTTTATCATCAGGGCCTAGGATATTGTATTACACAATTGTCTGTACTGAAAAAAAATTTTTTTTAATTACCTTAAAACATAATTGAGTTTCTTTAGGCTTAACATTTTCTAAGTTTTTTTGTTTTGTTTTTGGGAGTGGGGCCAGGGCTATGTAAGGAGGAGGACTGGTGTTTTATTTTTTTAAAGGAAGAAAGTGCTGGTAAGGAGAGAGAAATTCAGGGGAAATTTTTTTTTCAATAAATAATACATTTTTGGTATTTTTGGTCTCTGGTGTGCATTGTGAGATGAGTCAAACAAATGGGGACTCTTTTTTAGGCCTTAAAATTCAGATTGAAAGGAGTCATTTTTTAAGGATTATTTTTTGACCTTGCTAAGTTTTTTAAATGACAAATTGTAAAGTTTTTATAAAGAGTATCTTAAATATATTAAAATGGTGTGTTGTTTCCTGCATATATAAGTACATATATAGGTAATAATTTCATCTATATGGCTTTCTTCCTGTCCTAGTTCAGTCAAAGAGTGCTGGTCCTTTGAAATCAAAACATCAGTTGGACTTAGAACGTGCTCATTTCCTTGTTACTCAAGCTTTTGATGAAGATGAAAAAGGGAATGTTGAAGATGCTATAGAATTGTATACTGAAGCCGTAGATCTCTGTCTGAAAACCGTATGTATAGCTACTAGTTAAATTTGATGGAATTATGCTAAGAAATTTCTCTTACTAGTGAATTTTATTTAACAATTCCTTAAAGAAAAATAATTATAAATATAATTGTTACTCTTCATTAAAAGATGAAGAACAGAAAACTAATGATGGGTTTTAAACCTCTTGTTAAAAAATTGACAGTAGTAAGATTGAGTCATTAGGCAATGGTTTTTTTAATTATAGGTATTATTTTTTTAACCTGTTTAAACCCATATACCTAAAATTAACTTATTACAGGAAGAACTCATTACAAATCTATGAATTTAAAATAAACCTCCCCCTTCTTAAAAAATCTCTTACATTTAAAAATAAGGTGGTGGTTTGGGAGAGCTTTATTGATTTGCAGTGTAAAATCTGTATGCTGAGTGGCTTTTACTGCTTCCTGAGGACCCTGGTTGGAACAGCTAAGTTTAGGGGCTCTAGTGCATAAGAGCAGTGCATTTGACAGGAATGTGAGGTGAAATGATAGAGAGTGGTGTTCTCAGTATTGTCAGAGGACTGACTGCCTTTTTGTTCAGGGAAACCATCTTGCCTGATTTCTGGAGGTAAGTGCTGGTCTCCTCAGTTTCCTGCTGCTCAGTTTCCATGGCGCCATGTTCTTACAGTTGTGGTTCATTTACCACATGAAGTGGTCTTCAGGTTTACCTCAATGTCAGGTTTTCAACACTATTTTAAATATACCTTTAAGGATGAAAACAAATTGTCATCTTTTTTTATTCTCTCATTATTTATGTATATATATTATATATAAAATATATTGCATTATAAGTTTTTTGCTTAGAAATATGAATCAAGCAAAGAAAAAAATTATGCTTCAGAATGTCTGTCTTTCTTTCTCTTAAGTCTTATGAAACTGCTGATAAAACTCTGCAAAATAAACTGAAACAGTTGGCTCGACAGGCACTAGATAGGTGAGTTTTGGTCACTCAAGTTCTTATCCATGGATAGCAGTGAACTATGTTACTTAAATTTGACAAATTTCTCTAAATATGTATAGAGTTCGTAGTAACAAACCTCCATCTTTAAGCTGAGATCTAGAGCAAGTCTACCTTCTTCCTCTGGGTGAATTTATTCCTCTCTAGTTCCCTGCTTTAAACTCAATAAATAACAAATCAGCCAAGACCTGTTTTATTTAGTTTTTGCTATGTGTAAAACAATGATTATGGTGTTTGAAGTGGAAGACTTCCTTCTGTTGTGTAACACCAGATTTCTGGGGAGAACTTCCAGAGAGCCTTCCAGAGCTACTATTAAAAGTAGAGAAATTGAGAATGAGCTGGCCTATAACCATTCACATATCCCAAATTATATAGGGTGTGTAACTCCTTCAACTCTTGGCTCAAATATCCACTTTTCAAAAAAGCCTGCCCTAACCATTTTATTTAAAATGGAACCTCCTCCAGTATTTTCCTCCTGCTTGCCCTAATATTCTTTCCCAAAGCTCTTAACCACTTTCTAAGGCATATGAAAGTTACCAGTTTATCATGTTTGTTATTAATGTCCGTGTTCCTTTAAGCCCCCCAACCCTCCATGTAAACTCTGTGAGTGCAGAGAATTTTGTCTGTTTTGTTCAATGCTGTAACCACCTAGCAGAGTGCCAACATACCGTATGTGCTCAGTAGGTATTTGAGAATGAACAGATTTGCACAAGAGAATTATACCTCTTAAAGAGTGTTATAGATGAAGGAAAAGGATAGAAATTGCATTTTTAGTTACAGTATGAATTAATAAAATTACCTCCTTTTGAGGGTCTGACTTGGTAGCAATACCACCCCCAGCCCTTCTTTTTTTAAATTGAGGTATAACAGTCGTCCTTCCTTTTCATTGTCGTCATCTAACATTTAGTTTGTCTCTCCTGATTCATGAGGATATGGGCACTTAACACATAGTTATCTTATCCATTTTCACGAGTCAGAATCAGAGGTGATGTTTATTACCTGTGTGGATAACCCATCCAGTATCCTCTGAGTGCACCCTAAGCACAGAGGGTTGGGTCAGTCATTGGCTTCTTTGAAGGTCTTTTCAAAATTATGGATCCTCTTTCTAGGAGAAATGTACATAAAATTTTTTTCATGTGCATTTTATGTAATTTCAGAGTGTTAACAAGATTCCTGGAGCTCATATGTGGACCTCAAATTAAGAACTTCTGTTTTTTAGCTCGCTGAACTTTTAACAAAACAAAGCCAAAATTCCCTTGAATATCATGTGAGACATTCCATGATCAACTCTTGCCCCTGGTCTCCTCTCCTTCTGCCTCTTGTTTTTAACTTTTCATAGGGACTTCATCTATTTTTTTGGAAGTTATCTTAACTCGCTATGCTGGTTCATACTTCTGCACATGCTATTCTCTACTTAGAATGCTCCCTCACTCCCCAGGTGGACTTCTCTGCAGCTCAAACATCAATTCAGAATAACCTCCCCCGACTCACTGTCTTTTCTTGGTCATTAAGTTAATATCTTTTGCCGTGTGTTCACTCACATATAATACTTCTAGCATCTGTCACTTTGGATGCAGTTGTCTTTCTTTCCCCCACAAAACTGTGAACACCTTAAAAGCGGAGATTGCATTTTATATTTTCTTGTATCCCCCTTACCTTGCATAGTATCTGACATGCAGTAAGTGCTCAATAATTGCAGTTGATACAGCAATAGTATCAATTAATGTGTATCAGTTGTGAAATACTTATTTTCGGAAGTAGCTTAAGAAGTGAACTGCTGACTGATATGTATGAATCTTATCTACTAATTTTACATTAGGAATGCTTGACTGGTTCTTGAAGTAAATTTTATTTTCTGGAAAGCTTAAATGTGAGAAGAAAAACTAGAACAGTTTTTCTGTACCTCTTTCTATTATAGAGCGGAAGCATTGAGTGAGCCTTTAACAAAACCATTATGCAAAATCAAGTCAACAAATATCAAACCAAAGCCACCTCCAACGAGAGCACATTTTCCACTAGGGACTAGTCCTTTCCTTGAAAGACCTCAACCCTTTATAAGTCCACAGTCATGTGATGCACAAGGACAGAGATATACAGCAGAAGAAATAGAAGTTCTCAGGTAAATCAGTTTATGATTCATTGTAATGAATAATTTTGTTAATATAATCAACACAGGTAATTTAATTTTCATTAGGTTTGCTGAGTTGTAATCACATCTTTGTTATAGTGTGTTGTGCTTTTATTATGAAATTATAAATTATATTGTCATATAGCCCCAACTTGAAATAGTTAAAATGTGTTATAGTATATTTTAGTGTTAGCATTTCTACTAGACATATGTTTTCCTAAAAATCCTAGCATACTTTAAAATCGAGCACTAAAGGTCAAACAGCAGAACAGAGCTGTGGCAGACCACTCATCATCTACGCAGCTAGTAACCAGAGCCCTGATGGGGAGAAAACTGTTACCTTCAAATAGTGTAGGTCTGGGTCAGCAAAGGGAAGCCTGAAGTGGCGAACAGTTTTTACATTTCTTTAAAGGGTTATAAAAGAGAAAACAAAAAAACAGAAGAATATGTGACAGAGACCTCACTGCAAAGCCAAAACGATGTACTGTCTGGTCCTTTTTACAGAACACATTTGCCAACTCAGATACCGGTATGGAAGCAGCCTCAGGGGATATTAAAAATGCAAACAGCAAAGATGAGGAAATCCTTGTGCTTGCATTCTGAGCTGGTGTAGATGGGCTATATCTCTGAGCCAGAGTGGCTGCTCTTCAACTGGAAGAGATCCAAGCTGCTGAGAGCTGTGCAAGTCATGTAGTTGCTCACTTTTAATTTCCTAAAATTGCGCCGAAAGGGTTCCTTCGTTTGGAGCAGCCACCTGAAGGCAGTTTTCTTTTTTTTCCTGCTGAAGATTTTAATTCTTCTAATGTGTCTCCTCTTGCCTGGAAAAATTGCATATGAACCCCCACAACACACAGCAAGACAAAGAAGGGTGGTTTTGGAGCTGAGAGACAGTAATAGTCCAACACTGAGGCTACTCAGCATCCATGTGCTCCTTTCTACACACCTTTGAATTTCATGCTACAACAAAAAAATAATATTTCTACCTAACAGAATTCAGCTATCCTTCATACAGGTGAAAAGTTCTCATCCTCTCAGAAATGAGGATACACAGTCACTCATTTTGTGTCTTGGTGTCAAGGATACTTTCAATACGTTTAGTGCAGGCTTATCTTGAGACCATAGTTTAGTTGTGAAGGATGTAAGTCTTAAAAGAATAAGTCTTACAGAATTGAATCATTTATTTTTTGGTATTCAACGATTTTGTGAAAATTTTATTAAAGATATCAACAACATGAGATTATCATTTTAATTTTATTAAAGTGCCATACTTTGTCATATAAATTTTGAATAAGATCAGTAGTTAAGGTAAACTTGAACATTTACTTTAGATTTTTTTCCTTGTGTTTTGTAGGACAACATCAAAAATAAATGGTATAGAATATGTTCCTTTCATGAGTATTGATCTGAGGGAACGTTTTGCCTATCCAATGCCTTTCTGGTAAGTAAGCACTATTGTACTTTTTACTTCCGAGATGATTTTCGTTTTTCAGTAGTTTTTCCATACTCTGAAATCCAATTTAGCTCATAGCCTTGAAATTAAAATTTGTAATAAAAAAAGTTTGGAAAAGAGGTACAGTTGTGGAAAAAGGTAAGGCAACATAGCAAGAGTATCTGTGTGGGCATTTGCCTGGTAATGGGCACATATGGATCTCCTTTCGCCTACAGTTACACTAGCACAGTACCTGGCACAAAGTAAATATTTGTCAAATTGGTGTTTGAATCACAACAGCAAAGTCAGTAAAGAAAGAATGGAATGGAAAGTGGAATAGAATGGTGACAGTGTCGTTATTTACTAAAAAAAATCCAGTTCAAGAAAGGGTTAATTGTGAAAATGTTGGTTAGCACAGTCTTCTGGAACAGTGGCAGCTTGTGTTAAGCTTGTGTTAAAAATGTTATTTGGTTCATGACTCCCAGCTTCTACTAATTCTAAGGAAATAAAAGTTTGACTAAAGATGTGTTTAATAAGGGTATTCATCAAAGCATCTGTTACAGCAAAAAATTACTGAAACAAACTAAATATCCAACAATATGAGAATGAATAAAGAATGGCATATCTATGTTATTATAGTAAATGCTTATGCTACCAATAAAAAATACATCTTTGAAAGAGGTAGGGAAAATGCTTTCAATATAGTAAATTTAAAAACAGAAAATTTGGATGTTATATGTATATTTTTCTTTCATTTCATGTATTTATAGATAAATAGAAAAAATGATGTAAAGGTACATGTCAGACATTTACAGTGGTTATCTCTAGATAGCAAAACTGGGTGATTTAACTTTTTAAAATTTTTCAAAATTTTTGCAATGAGCATGTTCTATTAGAAAAAAATCAGAGTTGATGTTCATTACATGCCAGTTCTATAAAAGGCTCTGTAAAGAACAAAAGAGCTGCTTTCCCATTTTCTAGTGTTTTGCTGTTCTTAGATGGACAACAGTTCGACTTCTAGCCAGTGAGTTATCAACCTAATTTTTTTCACCCAGGCAACCGTGTGATGCTAGTCACTGATTGGAGTCTAAGAAATTTTTATATCTGAGAAGCTCTATATCATTGATCGATATTAAGGGCACAGATTTCTAGAGCCAAACTGTCCAGTTTTGTATGCTGTATGATGCTTGGCAAGTTGTTAAATCTGTCTCAGATTTTAAAATAAGAATAGAATCTAGCTCATAGTGTTACTGTGATCATTAAATTAGTTAATAAAATATAAAGCACTTAGTGCTTATTACATTGTTATATAATAAGGGTTAACTTAGAAAAATAATTATTTTTGTTAAATTCTAAATTATATTACAAAGTTTGGTTTTACATTTCAGATACTTCAAAATGTTTAAAATAAACAAGCAAACAAAAGTTTATCCCTTTGACCAGTAATTTCACTTCAGGAGACCAGTTTGAAAAAGTGTTCATAGTAGTCAAAGATTTATATAAAAGATACTCATCAATATTGTAATTGTGAAAGTGTGAATCAGTTATTCTAATACGCTCTTAAATGGTTATATCTGAGTAGGGATATAAACTTGTAGTTCCAGTCTTTGTGTAATAAGATAAATCATGTTTTTAGTGCTTGTATAACAGAACATCTATAAGAATAATACTACACAACCATGAACAGTCAGGTTTTCAAGAAATTAAATAACATGGGAAAATGCTTACAACATAATTAAAACAGTAAAATATGATACCATGCAAACTCCCTGAATTTAGGCATAGCACTTGTGACAGTTGGAATTTTACATATTTTGTATAAGATTACCTAGTGCCAGTCCTCCATACTGGATTATGTTTCATAAGGACAGAGACCATGTCTCTTTTAATTGTGCTCCTGTGCGTAGTGCGATGTCTGGCATCTAGTAGATACTCAGTAAGTACTTGCTGAATTCATTAAATTTGGAGAAAAATCAAGAATAAATACTAGGTTACTCTAGCAAGATTTTTCCATTCTTGTTTTCTAGATTATTTTACAGTAGAGTAATCAGAAGAAAAAGTAACAGTAAATATTTCAAAATTCAAAGGTAACAGACTGATGAAAAGGGCTCTACAATTTATGAATCTTTGGTTAGAAAGATTGAGTGATTTTTAAACATTTTTTTTTCTATTCGGCTCATGTGTTTTTAAATCTTAAAGTAAGCATATTGAATATAAATTATATTTATAAAATATGTTTAATGTCTTTAAAGTTATAAGAAAACACTGAATTTGATAACTTAGTGGTGACTTTGAGAGAACAGTTATTAAGGGATCTTGGATTTACTCTGTATTCTCATATGGCAGGTTGATAATACAAAGTAATTAAATTACAGATTTGAATTAAACTTTTTTTACCCTAGAATTTTTTAAAATTTAAATTCTTCTAAATTTGTTCGGCTCACTTTCTATTTACAATCAGCTACTGTTCCTACACAGGTACCAAAATGTCACCAGAACACTGGTGGTTCTATGAGATGATCATCAAAAAGTTTGAGAAGTGTTATATACAATAGTCTAAGAAATTTACATTAACCTTGGTTTATTAAACATTTACAGATGTCCTCTAATGAAGAAAATGTAGGCGTTTGTAGATCACAAATGACCACAAAAGCACCTTTCTCCTACTGTTAATATTTTTTTAAAAAACCATGTTATATTTGCCTCAGTTTGCATACCATAAACTTTGTATTATCCTAGAAATCTTAGGAAACCTGAAGACTGTTACCCTTAGAAGAGGTTTGAGGAAAGATGGGTGTTTTTTATTTTGTGCTATACATCAGTCTTAGAGAAATACCACCCAGCATATTCCCAACACGCAGTCAGAGGGTAGTGGGTAAGAATGTAGATCTGGCACCCAAGACCTGGATTCAAATGCCGCTACTGCCACTTTTTAGCTATGTGACCTTGGCAAGTCACTAAATCACTTTTAAGCCTTTTCCAGAAATATTTGCTTTAATGGAATTGTTTTAAGGATTAAATGAATAGTGTGTATAAAGTACTTTAGCATGATGCCTGGCACATGGTTGTTAATGAATAATTAACTACTCTCATTGTTAGCCTTGGAGAGAAGAGTTTGTCAAGAGCCATCGTAAGGATCTGTAGCTTCCTAGATCCTTTTGAATTGAATCAGCTTGTATTATTGTTAATGGTTCCATTTTATTGAAACTGAATTTTTTGAATATAACGATGCTAATGTAAACTTTTAAATTATATTCTTAAAGTAAATATAAGTGAATTTAAGTTGCTTTCCTGTTTGCAGTTATAAATTTATACTTTTTTAATCGAGAAGGATGAGCACATTGACTGGATTCATGGTTAAGTGTGAAGAGCCAGATTTGACCAGAGCATTATTTTAGGATGATGTAATAGCTATGATCATTATACCAAAAAAATAAATAAATAAATCTCTAGGAAATTTAATTTTGTTTTTGTGTCATTTTTAAAGATTAATTTTAGTAGGAGTAATAATAGTATTTAATTTTTATTATTGCCTCAGCGATAGATGGGGCAAGCTACCATTATCACCTAAACAAAAAGCTACATTTTCCAAATGGGTACGACCAGAAGACCTCACCAACAATCCTACAATGATTTATACTGTGTCCAGTTTTAGCATAAAGCAGGTAAACATTTTATATAATTTTATGTGAAAGCTAACATTTTGAAGTAATTTGAATGTAGATTTGGGGATTTTTTTTGGTTTTTATCATATATTTAGGTGCATGAGTATAATTGGAAAAATTATTCTGCACACTTTGACTTAGACATACTGAGATAATATGAGTATGAATAACTGGTTTGAGCAATTACAGATTTTTATATAGACCCTGTTTATCAATATGTTCTTGCAGATGAGAAGGTTGAGGATCTCAGCTTCACCTTGATAAGAGAATAGATTTTTTTTTTTTTTTTTAGATTTTTTTTTTTTAAAGATTTTATTTGAGAGAGAGCACACAAGTGGGGGAGGAGAGGGAGGAGTAGAGGGAGAGGGAATATTTCAAGCAGACTCCATGCTGAGCATGGAGCCCGACACGGGGCTCAATCTCCTGACCTGAGCTGAAACCAGGAGTTGGAGGCTTAACCAACTGAGCCACCCAGGCACCCTGAGAATAGATATTTTTAAAAAAGGAAGATATTAGGCTTATTTAAAAGACTTCAGTGGTGTAACAACAATATGGTTTTATTGCAAATTTTATTCAGTTAAGTTTTGCATTGAAGTACAGATGTCTTCCAGTTAGTATAAAAATAATGGTCCTGAAATACTATGATCAAGAATCTTTTGATGTGCATATTCAGTTTAGTTGGTCATATTATAATAAACTTTAAAAAATGCCTTTAAATTATCATTAAAAACTTGTGGGTTCAGTAAGTATGCTTTTATCCTGTAAGAAATGTATCATCCATATTTATTCTGAATTAACTTTATTGAAATGTTTTAATCAATTTTTCTAGGATTTGTTTGAAGAAAATATGTATGAGTTGGCAGTATAGAATTTCTGTTTATTATTTTGGTATTCAACAACAGTTAACTCAGTCTAAAAAGTTGGCTGCGTAGGTGTAGTGCTTAAATATTGTGTAATGTTGAAATTACATTAATGAATTAGTTAATATGTTAATAAATTCTTATTAACAGACAATAGTATCAGATTGTTCCTTTGTGGCATCACTGGCTATCAGTGCAGCTTATGAAAGACGATTTAATAAGAAGTTGATTACCAGGTAAAATTTTGTATTTGTCCCTTTAGCCCTTTTCATATAATTATCTCGACTAGAAATTAACAGCTTAGGTCTTATCTGCGTAGAAAGTGAAGAAGCCATATTACTTAGAATATTGTGGCCCTATATGTTAAACAGATGATTTGTGAATGTGGAAAGATTTCCTAAAATAGTCTAAGAATGTATGCACATGTATTAATATATATGAAATTGGTATGTTTTGAAATAAAATTGGTCAAAGTAAAATCATACTTATAATATATGGTAGCCACCAGCCACATGTGGATATTGTATACATGAAGAGGGCTAGTCTGAATCAAAATGGGCTGTAAGTGTAAAATGCATCAGATTTTGAAAACTAAGTAAAAAAAAAATACAAAATTGGAAGATATCTCAAATTTTTATAGTGATTACACATTGAAATATGATTTTGGATAAGTTCGGTTAAATAAAGTATATTAAAATCTCACTTTTTTAACTTTTAATATGGCAACTGGAAAATATAAAACATTTCTTGCGGCTAGAACTGCTTTAGAATGTACCGAAATGTTACTGAAATAGCTTTTCTCTCAATTTTTTAAAGTTTTATTACTAAAGATCATTCATTGTAAAAATTAAGCATTATAATTTTTCAAGCATCTTTTCCTGAGTGGTTTTTTGTAAGTCCTAAGATTACAAAGGTAAATTAAACACAGACCTTAGTTTCAAGCTATTTGCCGTCTTGGATAAATAGATCATATAAGTAAATAATATGTAGTGTAAAAGAAAATTGATACTGATAACAAATGTCTTATTAGATAATTTTGTGTGACTTTATCAGAATTGTGTTAACTTTATCTCTGTGAGAGTTGTAGTTAGTTGCCTTAGTTCTTGTTAATTGAAATGGTCTCTTCTTGAACCAGTGAGAGAAGATTATTTCAAATGGCATAAAATATATCTGCTTAATAGAAAATTTATTAGAGTATATAATTTAAAACTTAGTATTTTTCAGAGTATTGTGAAATTTATGCCCTGTTCTATTATCTCATATTTTCTTTATATTAAATAAGCACTTTGATTAGGGTGAAATTCTTTTCCTAGGCCTATCATAGAAAAATATTATCATGTTTATTTTTATAAAATTGCCAAGGCAATAGCATATGTCTAAATAAAATATAATATCCTGCATAGTAGTTTATATTGAATATTAATTTGGTATTTCAATATTTATTTTCCTTACAAAAGCATAATTTACCCTCAGAATAAGGATGGTGAGCCAGAATACAATCCATGTGGAAAGTATATGGTAAAACTTCACCTCAATGGTGTCCCAAGAAAGGTGAATAATATCTCTCCCCACCCCAACCCCTTCTCTCTCTCTTCCCCACCTTTGAATATTGAATAGAATCATTAAGAAATGTTATTTGTGTAAACATTTAAAAAGATTTTGAGTCTGGTGTTATGCATATTGCTACCAGTAACATCATATGTTAGTAATTAAAAATAAAAATTAAGAAAGTTTTTAAAAATGGCTTTGGGAAATTTATAGAAAGTTTCAAAAAGTAACATTGAGCTAATGATTACTAATGCTTAAACTTTAATCTGATAACTCTTAATGGATTAAAAGGAAAAGGAAATCGGGCAAACAATCTATTAGGTCACAAGAGTTTATATGTATTCATAACCTCACACCTAAGAAGCTTTTAAAATTATGTTTTTCTTTGTGAAATATATATAGTCTGAAATTACACTGCTTTCTTTAAGAACTATGACTTGTGTAATGGCCTGGCATTGTTGGGATTCTCTAGCTTTTGTCTACTCAGAGGTCCATGGATCAACATTAGCATTTACCGATAATTTGTTAGAATTGCGAAATTTTAGGCCTTACCCTGAGCCTACTGAATCAGAATCTGCATTTAAACAAATTCCTGATGCTTTCAGTCTGAGAAGTTGCTCAGTGGCTCAGTAATACTCAAATTTTGGTTATGTATAAAATCACGTGGAGGGCTTAAAACACAAATTCCTGCCCTGCACCGCCTTCCCCCCCCCCCCGCCCCCCTGCCGAGTTTCCAGTTCAGAATTTGTGGGGTGGGGCCATGATTTGCATTTCTAACAAGTTCCCAGATAATGCTGGTGCTGCTAAGAAAACCCTTTGAGAACCGCTGCTCTAGCTGATTACTTAAAAATTAAGCAAAATCATTGAGCATGGTTTTTCTGAACTGTAGTCTTTAAATAATCCCTTGTTTAAAGAATCTTTGAAAATGTAGTTGCATGATCCTCCTAATAGTGTTAGATCAGAATTTTTCCTATCCTCATTTCCCAGATCACTTTATAAATGTGACTCAGAAACTGTGTTGTGGTGATCACTTCCTCTATTACTTAAATATATCTTTTGGCCATAATGTTCTACTTTTACAACTGTACATAACATGAGTCTTTTTGCAGGTTTAGGTTAAAATCACATGTAGTAATATTGTTATTTACCTTAATAGTGAGGCCCTTTTATAATTATTTTAGATATAACGTACATTTCTAGAATCTGTAATAATTTTGATGAGTATAGGTCCATTTAGCCAGTTGGCTCAAGGTTATCAGGTGACAGGAAGATTAGCCTATAAAATGGAATAAAGACATTGTATAATATTTTATAATTGATCAGATTCTAGAAACATGAAGCTGTCATTACCTTAATAGGCATATTGTGCCTTTTATTTCATCTGTATGAAAGGTGTTTTTTTCCTTGATAGGAAGGATTTTAAGATATTTTGTACCACCTAAGGTAATTAAGGTTCTCTTTCTCCAGGTGATAATTGATGATCAATTACCTGTTGATCATAAGGGAGAATTGCTCTGTTCTTATTCTAACAACAAAAGTGAATTATGGGTTTCTCTCATAGAAAAAGCATATATGAAGGTCATGGGAGGATATGATTTCCCAGGATCCAATTCAGTAAGTATCAGGATGATCCAGATACAGACTTATGCTATCTAATATGACTATTTTAAATTTGAGAAATTATAGATGATATTTTTGTTTAAAGGAAAATAAAACAGGAGTATGAACCCCTGAAAAATGTTGATCGGTCACCTTGTTAAGGAAAACTGTATTTTCTTTTACAAGGATAGTGCATTGTAAAGGATTCAGGGAAGCCTAAAATGTATGTCTGCTGTCATGCTGAGATACAAGACCAGTTAGGTACAGTGTACCTTTCCAAAGAGGTCTCTTCAAATCAAAGGAATGTGTCCTATTGTCATCCTTACGTATGTTTTTTGATTTGTAAATTCAGGCTCAAGGAGTTTGTTTTTTAGTTTTTCCCAATCTTAACACTGCTTACCCTACAAAATCGACGGGTATACCAGTGTCCTTTAGTTGGATGAGGTAGACTGGGCTTATGCCAGAAATTAGATTCGTATAACTTTGAATTATGACAGTACACAGCCTTTGGCCTTAGAAAAGGTATGTAGCCATTCTTAGCCTCTTTGCTTGTCTGTAAGATGAGGATAATACCCACCTCTCAGAGTTGTAAAGATTAAATGAAGTAATGTATGCAAGTCGTCCATGGTTCATAGCTGGTTAGTTTTCCCACCTAGTACCAGGCCTCCTTCACTCTTCTGGTTCTTATAATGTTAGGCAAAGAATGTATAGGTCATGGTTAAATGCAGTAGGATATTAAAATTTCTTCTTGGCCTACAAGCTCAATTGTTCTGTTTCTCAAATATTTTTATAGTTTAGTTTCTAATTCAGTGCCTTTTAATTTACCTAGTACAGTATAGAGAGAGAAGGAATTAGAATATCTGTAAGACTTTAGAAAAGTGTCTGTCCTAAGAACTCACTAAATGGTGAGTGACTGTCATCATCATTATTAAAGCAGCTTTTATCTATAACATGTTTTGAGTTTTCATCATATTTATCGGTAAAACAATTGTTGCATTCAGGAAAAACAACGGAGATTATAAGGAATAGATAAACTTGTGCTCAAATCCAGGTAGGAATTTGAATTTAAAATGAAATCTGTTACTGGTCTAAAACAGCTTACTACCCTGTGATTTATTCTATCATTACATCAAATCAATGAGATTTAATAGCTACCATGTGGATTCATTAAAGAGCTCGAAAACAATATTGACAGTCCTGAAAATGTGTTTGTTGCAGAATATTGATCTTCATGCACTGACTGGGTGGATACCAGAAAGGATAGCTATGCATTCAGATAGCCAAACTTTCAGTAAGGATAATTCTTTCAGAATGCTTTATCAAAGGTAAACATTCTCTCTCTCTCTCTCTCTCTCTCTCTCTTTGGTAGTAAAAGAGGCTATTTTTTAAAATTCATGCCTATTTAGAAGAGAAATTGCAAAGGCTGCGTTTTTAGTTATTTAGAGAAATTCTGGTTTCATTTATTTTGTTTTCGTATAAGTAATCTCTACGCCCAACATGGGGCTCAAACTCCATGACCCCCACGTGCTCCACCCACTTAGTCAGCTAGGCACCCCCAGGAAATTGTGTTTTTAAAATGGACTTCACTTTATGTACTTGCTATGGCCGGCCCTCAGTTATCCTCACTGATTGTTAGAATTAATCCAGATTATAAATAATCTAAAACATTGGAATCTGGAATATGTCATATGGACAAATTGTTTTATACTTCCGAAGTACTTAACCAATTTGAGGGAAGGTGGAAAAAGAGAAGTCTGAGAATATAAAGAGGAAGGTAGCTTTTAAGCCTTAAATGAATAATCCACAGGTAGAGACGGGAAAATTGTGCAATAATACACATTCAGTAGTGAAACTAGAAAATTTCAGTATATGTGCTGCCGAAGCGAGCATGTGAAACTAGAAAATTTCAAAGATTTGACAAAATGTGTTTGACATCTTCACCTTTATTTGTAAATCATTTGAAAACTTAGCGTTTGCTTTCCTTCATTGATAAGTTTCTACCTGATTATCTAAAACTGGAGGAGGGTGGGGCAATGTGATAATTTATCTGATGCATTGTGAAATAGAAATATACCTTGTCCTTTGAGGAGTTTTGGGAATAGCCCATTTTAGAAAAGTCGTCAAATTTGTGGAAATTCTCATATAAACTCTTTAGACTAAAGGAAAGATAGTGTGATCTGATGGTATAAACGTGTTTTAATTATTTGTCTGTTGGGGTCATTCCAGGTTTCACAAAGGGGATGTCCTCATCACTGCATCAACCGGAATGATGACTGAAGCTGAAGGAGAGAAGTGGGGTCTGGTTCCCACACATGCATATGCTGTTTTGGATATTAGAGAGTTAAAGGTTTTGCTTTACATTTTTTTCTTCTTTTCTCATATCTGATAGTAAGACATTCCAAGGATCCCAAATAGTATATTAGACCTTTTTTTTTTAATTTTAATTTTAGGTGCAGTATTGGTTTCTGGAGTAGAATTCAGTGATTCATCACTTACATAAAATACCCAGTGCTCATCAGTAGTGTAATAGACTAGAATACTGACAAGTCAAGTTTTAGATGAAGTTTTAAAAATCATTCTACCTATTACATTAAATAATGTGACCTCAACCACTGGAAATTATGAAATAAAAAGATGGGAAATGTAATGACAATGATGTGCAGATATTGATGACAAAACAGAAATGCCTTTTGCCTCTTTTTCATAAAAGTAAAGGGTTGAGGTAAACACACAGCCCTCAAGGTTCTGGGCTATTTGCTGGTGTTGGGGGCAGTCATAGCGGTAGGCTCTAGAGCATGGTAGACATTCAGTAAATATTGATGAAAGGACAAAAAATAAGAGAATATCTGTGAATAAGAAACATGCCAATGGATTTGCAAATGTTTCTCTTCCTAGCAGCCCTTACATGGTCTCAGACATTTCAGACTCTTTCTCTGCTCAGGTGTTAGAATGGGTGACTTCATTACTTCTCAGGTTATTGATTAGCGCTTTTTATCTGAAAAATAGATCTGTTCTATGGATAAGAAAATACAGAGATTGTTACGGGAGAATTCTTTTTCTCTAATGATATAGAGTACCTAAGCTGTATAGTCACTGGAAAGTTTAACTAGCCACGTGTTCCAGTTTCCCCTGCTTAAACTTACAGAAGGAAGTAGTGATCAATCAGCAATGACAGTGTTCCACTGTGTATTAATTAGATTGATTTTCTTATATGGCACATAGAATTATATGAATTATGAAGGCAGTAGGGACCTGCTGCAACATCAATTTATATGTCTCAAGGCTTTCTAAATCAGCCACTATTGTATCCCTAACCATTGTGTATAGAATAGGGTGTGCCTTTAAAAGTAGTATAAAAATTGATTACTTAAAGCAAAAAAGTAAAAACATGTAAAATTGAATAAGCTGAGAGATTTGTTTGTTTTAGAAATGTAATTTTCCACAAACATGAGTCAAAGCATTGGCCATAACAGTTGCTGTTATTTAGTACTATGTGTATGTTATTTTATTCTTAAAACATCCTGGTAGGTGACCAGGATGCCTGGGTGGCTCAGTTGGTTAAGCGTCTGCCTTCGGCTCAGGTCATGATCCCAGGGTCCTGGGATTGAGTCCCACATCAGGCTCCTTGCTCAGCGGGGAGTCTACTTGTCCCTCTGCCTGCCACTCCCCCTGCTTGTGCTCACTCTCTCTTTGTCTCTGTCTCTCTGACAAGTAAATAAAATCTTAAAAAAAAAAAAGTAAATTAAAAACCATCCTGGTAGGTGATCAACAGTGAGTTAATAGCAAGATAATTAAATTTAGATAATGAAAGTCAGTATAAAAGTAAGCTTGAATTTGAGGAAATTTTCTGTGAAGATTGTATCATTTACTTTGAATAATGCTATTTGTTCTGATGTTCAGAGGAAATGAGACAAATAACATGTTTATGAGAAAAATAGGCACCTGTGGTTTGACCTAAAAACAAAACATGTAAAAATTTGCTGAATGTCAGTAAATTAAGAATTTTAAATAACAGCCATTTTAGTCAAAAATCAGAAAGCACTATTTACGTAGTTCTAATTCTACATGGGAGTTACTCTGTAGAGATGAAGGCATTTTAGAGCATGTATAGTTGAAGTAAACTGTGACCCCGAGACAGGTTTCTTCACTGTGGTGTAATGCTCTCTGTTCATATGTATGCTTTATGTTCCTATCTTAATTCTGTGCAAGTCACTGAAGCAGCATTATCCAGCTTGAGAAGACATCTCACATTGTGGAGCTGACCCCAGTTTCTTTTTGCTTACATGAACTCTGTAGTCAGGGTTGATCTTTATCTAAAGGCTTCTTCATGTGTTAAAATTTATAAGGGTTTTCACCAGTATCTTTGATTAGTTATATACTTGATGAGTTCCCTGTGTTCATCATTTTTTTCGTAAAGATTTTATTTATTTTGAGAGAGAGAGCATGAGCGAGGGGGAAGGGCAGAGGGAGAGGGAGAAGCAGGTTTGCAGGCTCTCTGCTGAGCAGGGAGCTTGATGGCTGTGGGGCTCAATCCCAGGATCCCGGGATCACGATCTGAGCCGAAAGCAGACGCTTAACCGACTGAGCCACCCAGGTGCCCCTGGGTTCATTTTTTATCTTATTTTTGCTGTCTGTATTTTGAGAGAGTTCCTTAGTTCTGACTTGAATTTAAAAATATTTCCAAAAATATTTATCTTATTTAGGCATTTATCTCTAGAACCTCTTTGTGCAGATAGACCTAATCTTAGACTAAAGGTACTGCCAAATCTTCTACATTTGTGAATTTCTTCACTTAATAAGATTTTATTAATACTTATGTGAAAATGTTATCCTTTTTGTTTGCCTCTAACCACCTTGAGTATTCTAAGATCTTCACTTTTAGTTTCAGCAGTCCTTTTGGGTCATTTTGTTGTCTCCTCCTTGAGGTTATATTCCATAGTCTATTGTGAAGCTACATCTCATTTCAAGCTGCTGTCTCTAAGTCCAGCAAGTCTTACCAAGGGATTTCTGAATCTATTCAAGTCTCTTCATTTGCTGCCACTTGGAAATAACTTTGAAAATGGGATGTTTCATCATAAACCAGATCCTTTTTCAGTCTAACATTTCTTCCCCTATTCAGGGCCTCTGAATTACAGGCTCTCTATCCAAACAAAATCTACAGCTCCTTCTTAGTGTCCTTAAATGTCAGTAATGCCTGGGACCTGCCCCAAAAGAGCTTAGCAATTTTCTCTCCTTTACAGTCCTTCTTTAAGAAGTGTTAGAGTTCTGAAATAAGGCAGATTTCCTGCTTATGTAGAGCTAGGTTTTATGAAAAAAATAATAATAATAATAGAGTTAAATATCTGTGTGGCAGGGGTAGAAGTGGACAAGTGGTAAGAAGAAATTGAAAAAAGGAATTTGAAGATTCCTGAGAGGAATGAGTCGTATGTCAGAAATCACATCTTTCCCAGGCCATGATTTGCCACATTTATAATAGCCGAGGAATGTGTCTTTCAAAAATGTCCCCCAAACAGTTTGACATCATTAGAAAATGAATACAGTTTCCTAATTTGACTGCTTGAGATAAGACAAGTACTCTTTTGGATTTACAAGCTCTTTCGATTTTCTGAGTCCAAGTAATGAGTTCTGTAGACACACCCAGTATTTGTTGAGCACTTATTAACCTTAACACTCTGTTTTATAAACTCAGTGGAGACTTCTGAAAAAGGACAGTAGTGTTAACATTTCAAGGAGTTTACAATCTCATTGGGGAGACAAGACTCATACATTTGCACAAGTAGGAAACAAGATAGGATATTATTTGTTTTGAACTAAAGTAATACGGAATGTTAGCACTATAAAGTTTAGAGAAGAGGTAGTAATTAAAAGAAGACAATTACTAATTGCTAAGTACTTTGCACATGTTACTTCATTTAATCTTCACAACAGTGTTCTAGGAGACATTATAATCTTCATTTTATGTGTGAGTAAGCAAATGATCAGAGAGTAAATGACCCACCCAAGGTCCATAAAGCTAATTAATAGTAGAGCTGGCATTTGGTCACATTTCATTTCTGACTCTAAAGTCCATGTTCTGTTTCTCTTCTTAACTGCTTCAGTCTTCACTGAGAGATAGTGGAGGAAAGAGCTAAGGAGGATCTGAAAGGATCTGAAGGGAGGAGGGTGCTTACAAGGGATCAGAGAGGGCTTTCCAGGAAAGGGGGACAGCATGGGTAAATGCCTTTAGAGGTAAAACTGAATAAGGATTATTTGTGGGGATGATGAGAGAAAAGACTAAATTAGAGTGAAAGATATATGCGGTATGAGTACTGGAAAATAAAGTGGGGCCAGAGCAGAGTAGGCTTTGAAAGGATAGGAAATTCTTGGTGCTCTAAGGCAGCACTGTCCAAAAGAACTTCCTGCTATGATGGAAATGTTCCGTATCTGTGCTGTGCTGTGCATTAGCTACTAGTTATACATGGTCCTTGAACACTTGAAATGTTGCTAGTGTGACTAAGGAACTGATTTTTAATTTTTTATTTTAAAAAATTTTAATTTTAATTATCACCTGTGGGTAGTGACTACCATATGGACAGCATAGCTCTTGGGAATAGGTAGGCATTTAGTTTTTGATCAGATATGTGACCTAGTGAAAATGTTGATTAAAGAATATTGTAAGTTGACTTGGAAAGAAAAGTATTGATCAGTATTCAAAATGCATCCTCTCTTAGCAAATGCATGATATAACTAATAAAAATTTGGTAAAACTGTTTTTGCAACTTTATCTCCTGTTGTTTTTTTTTTTAATAGGGGCTGCGATTTATCCAACTGAAAAATCCTTGGAGTCATTTACGTTGGAAAGGAAGATACAGTGAAAATGATGTAAAAAACTGGACCCCAGAGTTACAAAAATATTTAAACTTTGATCCTCGAACAGCTCAGAAAATAGACAATGGTAAAAATATCTTTTTAATTTTGATATCATTCGATCTTTAAATAACATAATATGAAATGTATTAACTGACTGAAGTCATTTGTCATTAAGATATTTTATAGATTAACAGACATCTAATTTTCAGGAATATTTTGGATTTCATGGGATGATCTCTGTCAGTATTATGATGTGATTTATTTGAGTTGGAATCCAGGTCTTTTTAAAGAATCAACATGTATTCACAGGTAACTTTTTGCATATTTCAGAATATGCTTTATAGTAGTCTCCACTTTTTTCATGTAAAATATAAGGATTAATTTATGATGACTAGCTTTCTTTTTGTCATGCCCACAGATGACTGCCATGTAATAGTTATTTTGTTTATATGCTATTCTGGTTACGCCAGAAATTTTTTAAGCAATAAAACAGAAATCCTGATAACTTAGTTATATTAGAAACACAAAACTTTTAAAAATGGTCTTCTGTTTTAGCTCAATGAGAAACTTAATTATTGCTTTCTTTGTTGACTTTATCTTTTAGTACTTGGGATGCTAAGCAAGGACCTGTGAAAGATGCCTATAGCCTGGCCAACAACCCCCAGTACAAACTGGAGGTGCAGTGTCCACAAGGGGGCGCTGCAGTTTGGGTTTTGCTTAGTAGACACATAACAGACAAGGTACTGATCTCTTATATATCCCATACAGAAACTTTAAAAAATAGACCATTGTGAAGAAGATATGTAAGTTGGTCACCAGCCTGTTTCATTTATGCAGGTGGCTTGAAGATAGTTTTGTATTACATAAATGAGTATTTTCCTCTAAGGAAATTTATATACTTAAAATCTTGAAGAAAAATGTGAATTTATGCTTGTCAGTGAGGGTTTTGAGCTTGATTATGTGTGCTTTAGGTCTTAAGAATATTAACATTAAAATACTCTGAAGGGGGTTTGGAGATGTTAAATCATTAGGCCTGATTCTGTAAAGCATAACCATAATCTTAATAGCCTCAGAGTCTTAATGTATTATTTTATACAATGTGGTCATCCATTGAAATGAATTTAATTCAGAAAAGCGGTTTTTATAGTACTAAGTAGCTGAAATGCTCTTAAAATTAGCTTTTTTTTTCCCTACTTAAGAGCATTTTGGGCCCATTTTCCTAACTACATTGGATTCTTTGTACTTTCAGGATGATTTTGCAAATAATCGAGAATTTATCACAATGGTTGTATACAAGACTGATGGGAAAAAAGTTTATTACCCAGGTATGTTTAGTATTATACATTCAAACAAACATTAAAATTTTATTTGCCTGATTAAAATGACAAGCTTTATGTAGATATATGCAGAAGTAATGCTGATAGACTAATAAAAAACCATTCGAACAGACGTGCTAGTATTTATGCTACTTTTGTGTTGTTTTGATTTGTTTTTAATTTAGAGATCTCAGGAATTTGGGATTCCTATATTCTTGCGTATTGCTGTCAGAATTTTATTTCTAAAACTTAAATCCTTTTTCTCTCATCAAAAATTCTGTGGTTTTCTGTGGACTCCTGGATAAATTCTAAGCTCTCTGGCATGGTTTGTAAGACTTTTGATATTCTGACCTTAACCTTCCTGTTGCCTTTTATCTCAGGCCCCAGCTTTTCATATTACCCTCAGTGAGGTACTGACTACTGAACACACCATGCCCTTGCTTCCCCTCTTTTATACAGTTTCTTCTCCCAAGTATCTCTCTCCTCCCTGTCCTCTACCCACGTACTCCTCTTACCCTATTCTCTGTAATGAACATGGTTAAGATCCAGCTTATATGTTATTTCCTCTGTGATAACCTTTCTGCCAGGCAAAGTGAATCTTTCCCTCTGCAGGGCTCCTGAGGCATTTAACAAACTATATTGAAATCACTTTGCTTTCACATTTAAAAAAAAAAAAAAAAAGTTTATCACATATTAAGCGATAGGAACTGTTAGTTTATGTTCTTGTTGGAGAGACAGAAATAAGAAAAATACCAGGTAGTGATGTGTGTGTAAAGAAATAAGTGAAGTCATGTGTTTGTGACTGATGGGTTGCTTTGGTTGGGTGGCCATGGAAGGCCTCTTTGAGAAGGGATAAGAGGAACTCTGAATGACAAAAAGGAACCAGTCCTGCAAAGAAATAGAGGAAAAAGCATTACAGGCAGAGGGAACAACAAATGCAAGGACTCTAAAATGAGAAAAAAGAGTGTTTCTTAGAAACAGAAAAAAGGCCAGTAGGCCTGGGGTGGTATGGTATCAAGAGGTCAGAAGGTATGCAGGCTCAGATTACATGATGTCCTATAAGCCACCCCAGGGTTTGGATTTTGTTCTAAGTGTGACAGGAAATCTTTAGAGAGCCTTGATCAGGAAAATGACATGATACAAATTTTTTTTTAAAGACCATTCTTTGGGGCGCTTGGGTGGCTCAGTTGGTTAAGCGACTGCCTTTGGCTCAGGTCATGATCCTGGAGTCCCAGGATCAAGTGCCGCATCGGGCTCCCTGCTCAGCAGGGAGTCTGCTTCTCCCTCTGACCCTACCCCCTCATGTGCTTTCTCTCTCTCTCTCTCTCTCTCAAATAAATAAATCTTTAAAAAAAAAAAAAAAAGACCATTCTTTATAGAATTATATTGGCAGGGGCAAAATATGGAAGAGAACCAAATCAGTGATTTTGAGAAAGTACTTAGCATAGTAGGAGTAGAGTGGAGTTGAGGAAGAGTGGGCACATTTGGGTTTCAGTAGGATTGTCAGGACCTGAGTTGATGTAGGGGGCAAAGAGGGATCAAGGATGATTTCTGTCTTTTTGGCTTACTTCATAAAAAGCTGCTTAACATTTAATGAGATGGGTAAGAGTTGGCGGGGGGAGCAGTTTTGTTGTGGAGTAAAAGCACAAAGTTAGGGTGCCTGGGTGGCTCAGATGGTTAAGTGTCTGCCTTCGGCTCAGGTCATGATCTCAGGGTCCTGGGATCGAGTCCCGCATCGGGTTCCCTGCTCAGTGCAGAGCCTGCTTCTCCCTCTCCCTCTGCCACTCCCTCTGCTTGTGCTCTTCTGTCTATCTCTCTGTCAAATAAATAAATAAAATCTTTATAAAAAAAAAAAGCACAAAGTTAATTTTTGGTTTTGTTAGTTATTTAAAATACCTATTAGATATCCAAGTGTAGAAACCAAGGAAACAATTGGGTTTTGGGTAGAGCTCTGAGATATGGTTAGGATTATAGATACAAATTGAAGAATCAGGGGCATATAGATGCCTTTTGAAGATAGGGCTGTATATACTGCTGGTGGAGAGAGTTGTAGGTACAGAGATGAACACCCGGAAACTAACCCTTGGATTCAGACATCTTAAGGTTAAGCAGAGGAAAGTTACTGCAGAAAAATTAGAACAGAGTACCTGAGGAAATAGAGTAAGATTTGTATGACCCAAGGGAAGACAGTGTTTCATGAGGGAAAGAGTGGGCAGCTGCATCTGTTGCTATTTTAGAGGTAAGATTAGGTTAGAGAAGAAACAATTGGATTTAGTGTCCTGCAGTCATTGTTGACCTTAACAAGAACAGAGTTGGTGGAGAGGTGGGCTTAGAAGCCCAGTTGGATTGGATTGAGGAAAGACTGGGAGGTAAGGAAGCAGTTATTGACAGTTCTTTCAAGAAGGCTGTGCAAAGAAAGCGGTTTCGTTAAGTCTTGTTTCATTTAATCAGAGGAAAACATGGTATTCATCCCCCTTAAACCAGGGGGAGGGGCGGGGAGGGTGGCGCGCGAGCACGGGGAGACAACAGGCCCTGATTCCTATCGGTCAATATCTCTTGATATTCCGAAATGGGCATGGCACGTAGTATTCCAAGGATTAAAGGTAAATTAGCCAAATTTCCCATCTTTCATAAGTTGGCCACTATACAACCAAAAAACCACAAATATTGTGAGTATATATTCCTAGCATTAAGATGTTTATATGGCTTTTGAACTTCAAAAATATTTTTGTTATACTTTTTATTTGGATTTTTTTTTTAAATGATGCTCCCTCTTACATATAATGATAATGCCTTTTCAGAAAAAAAGTACGTTCTGGTTTACAGTTTTATTTTCATCACAACACTTTGAGGTGAATTTAAAAAACACTCTTCTGTCATTCCCTATTTGACAGGAGAGTAAAACGGAGGCACAGAAAGTTTAAAAATCTTGTCCAAGATCACAGATACGCCCTTTTTCTCTTCATACTAGATCACACCACTCTAAGCATTAGAGACTTATTACCTGTTTGAGATACTGAAATGTTTAGTTTTTTCAATAGATGTAAGTATTTGGTGTTCCTAAATAAGCTAAATGATATAGCATTGATTTTAAATGACATGTAGTAACTGACATGCATGAAATAATTTTATTGTATTGGCCTTGATTGCAGTGAGACATCAGATAATATATCAGGTAGCATTGTTTGTAATAGCAAAATATTGGAAATAATCTGTCAGATTGTCTGAATAACTAATGGGGGTATAAAGAAGTCATATCCATATGATGAAATATACAGGCAGTTTTAAAAGGAATAAACCATATCTATATAGAACGTGAATCTTAAAAACATGTTGAGGGAAAAATGAAAGCTTTAAAATAAGACATATACTGTCCTTTTTTTAGATATATGCCCACGGAAATAATATTCATTCATTTTTAGGGATGTGTGTGTGTTAAATTCTGGAAAGATGCCCATTAATCCATCAGAGTGGAAAAGAATAAGACTAAGGGTGGTGTTTAAAAGGGACTTTGTTTTATAAGGAAGATAGTATGACCCCCAGAAATGTTAATTTAGTTCTGAATGGTGGGGAATATAGATACATTTTTATATACTACTTTGTATCTTAAAAAATTTCCTCAAAATAAAAAAAAAGTGCCAATCTTGATTTTTTAAAATCCTCTATTGGAAAAAATTCCACATAGGGCTAATAGGAATTATACCTCATTGAATGTATTCCAAAAGATTGCACTTACTTATTAGAAATTACTTAAATTTTTTAATTGTTTAATTACAAAGTTTTAAGTTGAAATTGAAATTCTTTAGTACTATTATATTTTAAAGATAGACTCAAAGGGGGAAGGATGTCCGTCCATTTAATTTTTTTTGCTATCATGACCTACAAAACTTAAATTTAAAAACTACAGAAACTAAAGTATCCTTTTCTGTAAACCTACTTATTTGTAGGTGACCCGCCTCCATACATTGATGGCATTCGAATTAACAGCCCTCATTATTTGACTAAGATAAAGCTGACCACACCTGGGACCCATACCTTTACATTAGTGGTTTCTCAGTATGAAAAACAGAATACAATCCATTATACTGTCCGGGTGAGTAAACCAACATACAGTGACAGAACACAATAATATAAAGTATATAATGTGCTCTGCTTCATAAGTGGGATTAGCTATGGAAAAAATTTCTGAAATTGTTCTCTGTAAATTTTTGTGTATATGTTTATATTAATTCAGTATTATGATGCTTCCCACAGAAAGTAATGCTTTTGAAAAGTAATGTTTTTATTTTGAATGACATGTTGAATGAATGTTTTAGTTTTCAGAATAATAGTTTAGTCCTGAGGTAATGTGATATGTTGGACTAATAAATTCTATTTCAGAACAAGCAGTTAAGAACTCCTTTATCCAATGTAATACTTTAATTGACTTAAAAAACACAACTTTGAACTCTGTGAAAGGAAATCAATTGCCTGTAAATGTATTGCTCTCTTATAGCTGGGCAGGTTAGTTGGTTGGTTGGGGTGGAGGGAGGTTATTGTAATTTTGTTCTGCATAGGTTTTTTTTCCTATCAGTAAGGGAGCTCAATTTGAATAGATTTTTAGTGATGGAAGGGACATTGGGAGGCTGCTTCCACCCCCTTTATTCTTCAGACGTAGAAACCAAGGCCTAAGGAGATTGCCCTGAGTCACACACAGTAGCAGAGAAAGCCAGAACAAGATCCCTAGCTGCTCAATTCCCAGTTCCTTAAACCTGTGTACAGAATAATGACTTTAATGTATGCCAACTAACTTTTCAGTCTTCCAGTATATTATTTTGTTACTTTGGAGTTTTTATAAGCATAAACTTTATCAGTACAATATATTTTGTTTTAAATCTAGGTATATTCAGCCTGCAGCTTTACTTTTTCAAAGATTCCTTCACCGTACATCTTATCAAAACAGGTAAGAATTCTTTTTCTGGGTCATAATAATCAGAGAAATCTTAGAATTTTCTTGGTTTTCTCCTTTTCTCATTTTATTCACATTTAACAATTTTTTACAAAATAAAAACATTCTGGACTTGACAGTAATACAAGGAAAATGTAAGTGGTCTCCAGTCTGTGTTGGAATACAAGATCTTCAATGAACAACATTTAGTGATTCTGTGGGAAGAAATAAAACTCAAAGAAAGAAGATTATGCAGACTTTGGTCATTAGGGAAGCGTTCACCATGTAGATGAACCTTTATTTTTTATTTATTTTTTTAAAAGATTATTTCAGAGAGAGAGCGTGCACAAGCATGAAGGGGGTAGGGGCAGAGAGAGAAGCAGACTCCCTGCTGAGCAGGAAGCCTGCCACGGGGCTCCATCCCAGGACCCTGGGATAGTGACCCAAACTGAAAGCAGCTTAACTGACTGAGCCACCCAGGCGCCCCGTAGATGAACCTTGAAAGAGTTAGAGACTGGTTTTGCAGGGTGGGCTAGATGTGTAGAGGAAGATTTGAGGGAGAATTCTTGGCTCCCTTGTCAAATATTAATTGACCATATGCTTGGGTTTATTTCTGGGCTCTTTATTCTGTTGGCTTCTGTGTTGTTTTTATACTGTCAGTACTGTCTTGTTTTGAGGACGATAGCTTGAAATCAGGAAGTGTGTTATCTCCTGCTTTGTTCTTTCTCAGGAATTCTTTGGCTATTCAGGGTCTTCTGTGGGTCCATGTAAATTTTAAGAGTTTTTCTTCTTGTGTTAAAAAAAAAAAAAAAAGGTCATTGGAGTCCTGATAGGGATTGAATTTATAGATGGCTTTTGGTGTATTGACATTTTAACAATATTAACTCAGCCCATGAACATAGGATATCTTTCCATTTATTGTGTTATTTTCAATTTCTTTGGTTAGTGTGTAATAGTTTTCAGATGACAGCTCTTTTACCCCCTTAAATTTATTCCTAAGTATCTGTTTTTGATGTTATTATAAATGGGATTGATTTCTTTTTCAGAAAATTCATTGTTAACAGAGAAATGCTACTGATATCTGTATGTTAATTTTGTATCCTGCAGCTTTACTGAATTTTTTAATCAGATCTAATAGTTTTTTGGTTGAGTCTTTAGGGTTTTTCTATATATAAAATCATGTCATCTGCAGATGGAGACAGTTTTATTTCTTCCTTTCCAGTTCAATACATTTTTTCTTGTCTGATTGCACTAGCTAGGACTTCCAGAATATGTTGAATAAGAGTGCTGAGAGTGGACATCCTTGTCTTGTTCCTGATCTTAGAGAAGACGCTTTCAACCTTTCATCATTGTGTGTGAGGTTAACTATAAGCTTGTCATATGTGGCCTTTATTATGTTGAGATATGTTCCTTCTATTCCTCATTTCTTAGGGAGGAGTTTCTATCATGAATGGATGTTGAATTTTGTCAGATGCTTTTTGTGTTAAGATGATTGTAAGATTCTTTCATTCTGTCTCTTGTGACATATCACATTGGGCTGATTAGCATATGTTGAACCATCCTTGCATCCCTGGGGATGTCTGTGTTTTCATATAGTTCATTAAGCTTCCTTAAGGATTGTTCTGCATTCTTTGCCTGACAGTTCATAGATCTCCATTTTTGTAGGGTTATTGGAGTGTTAATTCGTTTTTTGGTTATTTTGTTTGTTTGATGATGTCCTGTTTACCTGATTTTTTGTGATCCTTCGTTTTTAGGTTTGTAAATCTGCACATCTGAGTGATTAGGCTCACTTTCCAGCTTTGCTGTGGCAGGGCCAGTTTTCCACCAGTTAGCTTAGTTCGGGTTTCTGGGTGTGTCTGCTGGGTGTCCTTGGGCAGACATCCAAAAAGAGACTTGCCCAAAAAGAGACTCATTGTGTGGGGACCTGCACTGAATTCTCTAGTCAGGTGAGGCCACCAGTTTTGCTCTGCAGACAGGGCAAACCCACAAGCTGTGCTTTTTGTTCAAGTGCCACTATAAAAGGCCTGTTAGGTTATGCAGCTTCCCATGTGCTCTGGTTCGGTTCCCTGGTCAGAGAGGCTGAAGGCTGGTATTCAGTGATGAGCAGGCCTACAAATCAGATTCCCTGCCTGGGCTCAGCAGGAGACGCATCTTTGTTGTCTTGACACAAGCCCACCTACACTCCAAGTTCTGTAACCAAACTGGGCCACTGGCTTTGCTCTATAAACTATTGGTTCTCCTTGCCTCTTGGCTAAAGTGCCACTGGAATGCACAGTATCTAGTAGTTGTCACCAGCCCTTCTGGTCAGATGGGGCTGGAAGGCACTCTGTACAGCAGTTGGGGCTGTGACTCAGCTCCTTGCCTGGGTGTGGGCAGTCCAGGCTGTAGGGCTGGCAAAACTCATTTGAGTATCCAAATCAGGCAGATCTGCATCCTGCCAAGTTCCTGGGATTACTGCTTGGGCACTGCAGGTATGAATTCAGCCTGCCGAGGTCCATGTGCTGGTTGTTGCAAGCTCCACCCTCTTCTCTGTCACAGATTCCCCTGTAATCCTCATGGTGCGAGATCAGGTAGGAGCTTCTGCAAAGCAAGCCACAATGCCTGGGGGAAGCTTGTTGTCCACTGGAAGAATCAGAACCTCAGGGGAGACATCTCTACATGGTGCTTTGCTGGCCTGGAGACAGTGCGGTCAACACGTAGCTGCTTTTCTTGTCCTTCTAATGCAATCTGTCTTGGTCTCTGTGGTGCAGGAGGGTGCTTCTGCCTCACCCCCATGTTTAGGATTTTCTCAGTGCTATCCTCTTCTGGAATAGCTATTATAGTTGTCCTTGTGAACGGGAGCAAAGCAGGAGGAACCTGTTGCCACCTTGGTGACACCATTCCCTTTTTAAAGTCTTTAAAGTAGAATTGGAGAATGGGAAGTTTTGTTAATACAAAAACTTTGTTTTATTAAAGATTAATGGAAAGTGGAGTGGCCAGAGTGCTGGAGGATGTGGAAATTTCCAAGAAACTCACAAAAATAACCCCATCTACCAATTCCATATAGAAAAGACCGGGCCATTACTGATTGAGCTAAGAGGACCAAGGTTTGTGATTAAGTAACTTTCTTAAATTAATACCATTTTAAAAATGAGATTAATGGAACAGAATAGGGTGTTTTGTTTTGTTTTTTTAAGATTTATTTATTTGACAGAGAGAGACACAGCGGGAGAGGGAACACGGAGAGTGGGAGAGGGAGAAGCAGGCTTCCCACGGAGCAGGGAGCCCAATGCGGGGCTCGATCCCAGGACCCTGGGATCATGACCCGAGCTGAAGGCAGACGCTTAACAGCAGCCACCCAGGCGCCCCCAGAATAGGGTTTTGAAACAGACCTATGCATATACAGGCACTTGATTAATGAAAAAGATGGCATTGCAGAGGAGCGGGGAAAGGATAATCTGTTGAATAAATGTGCTGGAATAATTGAGTATTCATGAGCCAAAAAGGTAATTAGACTGCTGTCTCACATCAAATCTAAAAAACTTTTGCAGCTGGGTTACTAATAAAAGAAATATCTTAATGACTTCAGGATAAAGAAAAGTTTAAGACACAAAGCACATAGAAAGATTTGTAAATATGCTACATTGGTTATTAAAAAAAAGTCCACCATTCAAAAAATAAAAGCTTGGACAGGCATGTCATAAGAGGAACAATCCAAAATGGCTAATAAACCATTGTAAGAGCCAAACCTTTGTAACAACCCAAGTGTTCATCAGTGGCATTAAAGATTATAAAACAGTCATAGAGTCCTGCTAACAATGAAAGTAAATTACAGCTACCCAGAACATGATGGATAAGTCTTAATGCTGAGCAGAAGCCATACATAATAGAACATCAACTGTGTGATTCCATTTATATGAAGTGAGGAGCAGGCAAAATGAAACTATTATTTAAAGATGCATGCTTAGGTTGTCAGACTATCTAAAGGCAAGAAAGTAGGGGAGGGGTTTGGGAAGTGGGTGAAATAGGTGAAGGGGATTAAGAGGTACAAACTTCCAGTTGTGAAATAAGTCAGAAGGATGAAAAGTACAACAGAAAATATAGTCAATAATATTGTTGCAACGTACAGTGGGTGCACTCACTGGTGAGCATAATGTAGAGAACTGTCGTATCATGGTTGTACATCTGAAACTAACATTGTATGTCAATACACTTTTTAAAGAAAGGCAAGAAAAAAATGTGAGCTCTGTGGGGACGGGAACTGTAGCAAGAAAGGCACGTACAGGGACTTTTGTGTTGATCTAGGTAGTGACAACGCATGTGTTCACTTTACAGGTTATGTAGGCTGTATGTTCTGTGTACATGGTGTTCTTTTTCTCAACTTAAAAATGTTTAAAAAACAATAAAAATAGTACTTTTAAATAAAACGACTTAATTTTGCCCCTTTACAAACTATTTCAAAAACTAATAATCCTTTAGATACGGTTAAGCTAGTTTTCTACAGTTTGATAGATGAAATAAGGTATCTAGTTGGTTTTTGTATTTAATTCGTAGATGGAAATATTTGATGTAAAAGTGTTTGACAATGTGTAGCTTTTGCTTTGCCTATTCATGTCTTTTGCCCATTTTTCTCTTGGAATTGTCATGGTTTTCTTAACTGTAAGCATGAATAGGGATCTGTATCACATATTTGCAAGTATTTTTCCCAGATCATCAATTTTTTTTCCCCACATAGAGAAAAATTTTCATTTTAAAGTAATCAAATCTGTCTTTTCAGATTTCTCACCCCAATATCAAATTTGTACCATATTTTTTTTTTTTTTTAAGATTTATTTGAGAGAGAGAGAGCACATGAGAGGGGGGAGGGTCAGGAGGGTCAGAGGGAGAAGCAGACTCCCTGCCGAGCAGGGAGCCCCATGCGGGACTCGATCCAGGGATTCCAGGATCATGACCTGAGCCGAAGGCAGTCGCTCAACCAACTGAGCCACCCAGGCGCCCCCATATTTTTTTCTAGTTCTTCTGTGGTTTACTTTTTATATCTATATGGAATGTATTTTTATATTTGGTGTGAATACAGTGTAAGTTCTTTTTCCTAAATTTGTCACCTCATCACCATCTAAATAATCCTTTCCCTACTAATTTGGAATGTCATGTCTACCATATGCTAATTACTTCTGTAAATTCAGATTTTATTTCAGGGCTTTCTCCTTCCACTTATTTTGCAAAGACAGTATTTTATCATTTAAATGTAACAGTATTCTCTGAGAGCCTGTGGTAAAAATAGTTTAAGTAAGTTTAGTACTAAATCATCTTCATAGCTTCAATTAAAAAATATAAATGGTAGATCTTGTATAATTAAGAGTAAAAATAGTATATGCATGTGTTTCAGCGTGGTTTCCTCCTAAAGCTTTAGAAAGCAATATACTTGATTTAATAGAGTATCTGCACTTTACAGACTGCACTTTTGAGACTACTTAATAACAACAGTAATTGGTTTTTTTCATTTTTTTTTTTTATTGTTAGGCAATATAGTGTTGGATTTGAGGTTGTAACAGTGTCCACGGTGGGAGATCCCGGTCCCCATGGCTTTCAGAGGAAGTCTAGCGGTGACTATAGGTAATGTTAGCATTTTGACTACATCTAATTTATACTTTACTTTTTGTGGCATCATTTTTTGTAAACTTTGTTCTCATTTTTCCTGCATGTAGGTGTGGGTTTTGCTACCTGGAATTAGAAAATATACCTGCGGGGATCTACAATATCATTCCTAGTACTTTTTTGCCTAAACAAGAAGGACCTTTTTTCTTGGACTTCAATAGTATTATCCCCATCAAGACAACACAACTTCAGTGATGCAGCTTTCAAGCATTTACTGGATTCTCTACTTACCAGACATCAGCTCTTCGAATGAGGACGGAAATCCTCAGGACCCTAAACAGAATTAAATCTCTAAAAAGGTTACAGTGGGATCTGGTGCTCAAGTCAGAGTGTTTAGACGTGTATATAGTCAGAATTACCCTAAATCACTCAGAAGTACTATTTACACAGTTTTGTGTGTATAAGGAGTTGGTGTGCATTGAGGGGCCACACTGTATAAACAGATTGTGGAGGATTAAAGGCGATGCTCAGTACAAAGCCTTTGCTACAAGAAAGAGAATAGAGACCAGATAGGGGACATGACTCATCCACTCACTGGGTGCAACAGTAGGCTGGTATAATATTCTGAAGTATTTATATTTGTCTTTTGGCAGAGCATGTTGTAAGTTAAACCTGCTTGTGTTGTGACTCTACTGTATGTCTTGGGCAGCTAATTACCAAATGAATCATGTCACCATAACAGATTTTAATTGTGTTATTTATGATTTTTAATGTTTGTTGCCCAGATGTTATAAAAGAATAAAGCTTTAAGAAATATTTTAACTTAGTTAACAATGAAGGTTGTTGGACTTAGGTACCTGTCTCCCATTAACTCATGTAAAGAGAACTGAGATATATTCACTATTGCAATTCTTATTTTTTATCAGGCTTAATGAAGGTAGTAATCTGAGACACTGAAGAAAGACATTAGAGTTTCGTTTGTTTAGTCTTTTAAAAATTGCTCTTCTGGTAACACTGAAAAAAAAAAATACCATATATTAAATTTTCAGATGTAATTGGGGTTGTATTTGGAGAAACTGCCATGTATAAATTCCTAGTTTACATAGAAATCCATGAGAGCAGAATGATGCTCAGGATTTTAAACGTCCAAAAATAAGGTGGAATTTTTCATTGTCTCTACTTTATAATTACCACAACTTTTGTATTTCTACTACTTTTATTTGAAATAAAAATCTTTATACTTATGGAAACTGCATAGTTTAACCTAGAAAGATTATTAAAGGGCTTCATCTAGTATGTTCCATCTAAAAGAACTCATTATTTACATGACAATTAGGCTTCAGCAAATCTGTTTCATATTCAGGATAGCGATCCCACTTCGGTATTTAGTGCTTTCCCTTTTAGGTGGATTTTCTGTGGCCCTTTAAAGAAAAATTTAAACACATGATTGGAACCTTGTATATTAAAGATACTATACAGGATGCAAACAAGTAAGACCTAATTCCTGCCCTCAAAAACCCAATGGAGACCTGTGTATGAACAGTTTAAGATTGAATTCTGTTACAACAGAGCTCCAGATACGGTGCTACAGATAGAACACAACAGTCTGAATGTCAGTCAGATGCACATTAGAATCACCTGGGGGAGCTTTTAAAAGTTTAGTACCTCAAGTGTACCCCAAATGATCTCAGGCTCTAGGACCAGAGAACAGCCGCATTCTTCAAGCAAGCTTCCCCGGAGATTCCGGTGCAGCAGAGGTTGGGAAACACTCCTCCGACATAATCACCTTGTCTTCATTTTCCTCATGCTGTGTCTCCTTACTGCTCAGTGTTAGTGGCGGCAGCAGAATTCTAACTCAACTCTGGTCATTTGGGGCTTAAATTACTGGGATCCAGGACCTTAACTGGAAGTTAGAACAGATGACCACTGCATGCCATGCTCTTCCTTGTGGCAAGAAGGTTGCCTAGAATGGAAGATGTAGGCAACATCAGGGTTTCTTATTTGAAGACACACAGAGGTAAACATTTTCTTAAGCCATTTTTATTACACTCAAGGAATTAAGACAAGTACAAAATAACCTTGTAATTAGGATACTGGATCAGTCCTTAAAAAAGGAGAAAACACTACAGTATGAAGAGATTTACAAATGACTAAAATATACAAGCTGTGTCGGAATTAAGAGACAATTTGAAATGGGGTTGCTTTTCTTTTAGAAATGCTAAGTTTTCTTAACAAAAAAGGACAACTAAAATACGGTGCTCTAAATATGTGTAACCATGAAAACGTTAAAGAAAAGCAATCTTAACACGTACTACTATTAGCATAACAGACTTCATTGCTTCTATTTAACAGCCTGTGCCAACACATGCCTACTCCCTTTCCTAGCTTTAAGGAACAATTCCCTCTAAGAAATACTAATGCAGCATAACCCTTAAATAATTTATTTTTAAAGTCACAACCTACAGAGAAATTGACACCTTGTCAATCTAGATAGAACAATGGCAACCATTCTTCACATGCACTTCTTTTAATTCTTAAATCCCGTGGCTGGTGGGATAAGGTTTATGCTACAGACTCTCCTCCCCCACAGCCATAAATCCACCTTCTGTGGTATGTCCCTGCTACCCTCCATCCCTCCCATCCCCACGTTGGCATTCACCTTTCCCACCCCAAAAAGTGCAGTTCATGGCAACCTTTATAGAAAATGGTTCTAATGGGTATCCCAGCATACAGGCTTTTTTTAAAAGCCCCTTCTGAATACCAGAGGTGATGAAAATGAACTGTGTTCTTGGGTTTTTTTTTTTTTTTTAAAGCCTTCGCTGGGTCAAATAGGTGTGTTCTGAATATTTGAGTTTGTTCTTGTGTGTTTTCATGTCGATAACCTGGGCTATAAAGGAGACACCATCTCCATGTTCCCAAATTGAGGTTAAGAGAAGGGAAAGAGAAGCGAGCTGTTGACCCCCGTTTGGCTCAGCTTCCCAGCCCCTTTCCTGGCTCGGGTTCTTTGACAGGAACTAGTTATTGCTTCCATAACACTGTTATGGGGAATATTCCACAAAGGCTGTGACCCTGGTCACAGTCCACTCCAACAACGCCTCTGCTCTGAAAAACAAACCAGCCCATGAGCTCTTTCCCAGAAGGAAGCTCTTCAGCCCTCAAGGTCACAACGTCATTAGTGCAGTTTAGAGTAAACGCTTAAGATTTGGCATACAGTAAATGATTATTGGCACACTGTTCTCCATACAGCTTCGTGTATAAATACTGCTCTGCACTTGGGCCAGGGCTTTGCAGGGATCAGCCAATCTGCACCATCTGTATGTCAGCAATAACCCCGTCTCTTCCCTTTGAGCACTGCAGGGAGAGCTGCTTCATCCTGTTCTCCAGGGCCTGGCCCTCGCGGGCGGTGCTACTCTGGCTCTTGCCGCCGCCGCTGCCGAGGCCTCGATTGTTGTTGGCTTTGTCACTCGTTTTATTCTCTGCCCCTTCTGCCCTGTCTCCTAGAGAAACGTAAAGATCATTAAGTGAGTCCCTGGGCCCCCAAGCCAACGCAGGCCTCCAGAAGCTCCCCGTGTTGCCCGACCGTGCCTGTCACAGCGCCTGCTCCAGCACGTGAGGACACACTGCTTTTACTGCCCGTGGCCTTTTATGTATTCCTCATCTGTAGCGAGGACTGCTCCTGCCCTCACAGCCGGGAAGCCAGCCTCTCCAGCACGTGCTTGTCGAGAGGACTGCCGGTGATGAAAGACCCAGAAGCCAAGCCGCCCTTTGAAGATGCATTCGGGAGCGGAGCCAGGAGCCCCGTGCCCGGCAGCCGGCGTCTCCGTGATCAACACCGACCGCGCGTGCACAGAGGCCCAGTGACGCAGCCCCGGGGGCGCCGAGACCCGGCGAACGTCTAGAACGGCGCAGAGCTCCGGCCGTATGTCGGATGTGCCGTGAGTCATCTGGCCCAGGCACTACTGGTGAGAGGGCTGGAACTCACCTCGTTCTACCTCACATTCGGGGGAGGAGGCTCCACTGCATTCGCTGCGAGGGCCCAGTACCGGGAACATCAGCCCAAACTCCGACAGAGACACGGGGCTAGGCAGGTCCAGGCTGCCAGGCCTCACAGCTGCGGGGAACTGCTCAGGCATCTCGGACGGGCTCGTTGGCCCCGAACTAAAGCTGGACACCGACTGGGTTTCCGAGTCGTCTTCAGACACGAAGTTGCTGCAGCTGTCGTCTTCAAAGGCCTCGGAGGCCACTAGGAGGACAGAGAACACCGGTCAGAGCTTCTGACGGGGAGCAGCCCCCCGTCCCTTAGGCCCCTCCAGAAGTGTGCGCTGCTGGCCAGCAGCCGGACACGGCCTGGGGACTGCAGACTCCTTGCCACCGTGTGCACCCGATACAAGGACTCTGACCCTCCCAAGCCTGCATGGCCAGACCGGCCAGCAACCTGACGGGAAGCAGTGGGTCCCATGGATATCCAGTGTCCTTTCGATAACTTTCTAACTCCTGCCCCAGAAGGCAGTGTCGACTACCTAAAGGTGGAGGATGAATCCGCCCCAGGTCAGCGGCTTTTCTGCACCCCAGGCCCCCAGGCAGATCCACTCGTACAAAGGAAGAGAGTGGCCCTTTGTGATGCACACGGAACAAAGCCAGGCAGATGTACAGCTGCTTCCATGCAGTAGAAGCAGGAGCTGCTAGAAGAAACAGTCCTGTGTGCAGTATCTGTTGGCATTCTGTGATCTCCAGGTAACTTTCGATCACATAAAAGACACACCATTTGCTGCAAAAGGACAAAATTCCTTTACAGTACTCTTAGCTTGTGGATCAGAATAACCAAGGCCCAGAGGACAGGTCATTCTTGTGGTCTGAAAGCCACTTTAACTATTCCCCCGCCTCAGCCTGCACACAAGACTGCTTATTAGACCCTCCCTATTCTACTCTCCTTCCCTCCTCCCTCATCTTTACAACAGCCTTGGTAGCGTCCCCTAGAGGACGGACTACCATAAGTGAAAAGTACTGTAATGTTGAAGACAGGAAATGGGCTCATATCTGAATTCAGATCCTGTCTCCACTACTTTCTGTGTAGCCTTGGTCAGGTTACTTAACCTCTCTGAGCTTCATGTTCCTCTCCATATGAGAGGATGGGTATTAGAGTACCTCACACATTACTGACAATCAAATTTTAGTTTCCTTTCCTTTACTTTGGGCCTGGCACTTAAACATTTGTTGAGTGAATTTCAAAACTCCGGAGGAAGGACCTTGGGAGAGCACCAACAGGGATTATGCCACAGAAAAGGGAATAAAGGAAGTGTGCAAAGATAGTGCTGGAAAGGTTTTGATTAACCTAAAGGGAAAACTGGACCATTTTCTTTCACCATACACCAAGAAAAACTCAAAATGGATTAAAGACCTAAATGTGAGACCTGAAACCATAAAAATCCTAGATGAGAGCACAGGCAGTAATTCTCTGACATCGATTATAGCAGCATTTTTCAAGATAGGTCTCCTGAGGCAAAGAAAACCAAAGCAATAAACTATTGGGACTACATCAAAATAAGCTTCTGCCCGGTGAAGGAAACAAATCAACAAAACTAAAAGGCAACCTACAGAATGGGAGAAGATATTTGCAAATGAAATATCCAATTAAGGGTTAGTATCCAAAATACATAAAGAATTTATACAAGTCAACACAAAAACAAATAGTCCAATTAAAAATGGGTCAAAGAGATGCAAAGACATTTCTCTGAAGACATTAACAGATGGCCAACAGACACATGAAAAGATGCTCAACGTCACTCATCATCAGGGAAATACGAATGAAAACCGCAATGAGATATCATCTCACGCCTGTCAGAATGGCTAAAATCAAAAACACAAAAAACAAGTGTTGTCGAGGACGTGGAGAAAAAGGAGCACTTGTGCACTGTTGGTGGGAATGCAAACTGGTGCAGCCACTGTGGAAAACAGTATGGAGGTTCCTCAAAAAGTTAAAAATAGAACTACCCTAGGATCCAAGAAGCGTACTACTGGGTATTTATCTCCCCAAACACAAAAACACTAATTCAAAGGGACACATGCACCCCTATGTTTACAGCAGCATTATTTACAACAGCCAAGATATGGAAGCAGCCCAAGTGTCCACCAATGGATGAATGGATAAAGAAGAAGTGGTATATATATGTAATGGAATTCTATTCAGCCATCAAAAAGAATGAAATCTTGCCATTGGCAATGACGTGGATGGAGCTAGAGAGTATTATGCTAAGCAAAATAAGTCAGAGAAAGACAAATACCATATGATTTCACTCATGTGGAATTTAAGAAACAAATGAGCAAAGGGAAAAAAAAAAAAACAAAACCAAGAAACAGACTTAACTACAGAGAACTGATGGTTACCAGAGGGGAGGGGAGTGGGGGGGATGGAGGAGATAGGGGATGGGAATTAAAGAGTATACTTATCATGATGAAAAAAATAAAATGATAAAGGCGGGGGGGGGGGGGGGCACAGCAAACATATCCATTTCCCAAGGGATGGCCCTGGGGAAAAAAGGTCTCCACAGTTAGATACCAGAGAGAGCCACTATTTTCAGACCTTCTGGGTGCCTGCCATTATTTCCTTTAATCCCAACCTCCCCTCTACACAGTGGATATTAGGTGCTCATACTCCCCACTTTACAGGTGAAGAAACAGAGTTGAGCCCTTGCCCACATCATGTACTATGGGGGAGCCAGGATTTGAATCAAATCTGTGTGCACAGTCCCTATTCTTAGGCAACTCTCCCTTCCTGCAGTACTTCTCAGAGCCCTGAATGTTCTCATATGTACTCTGAATGCCAGGATGGAAGTGTAACATTTTCCAAACTCACCCACCACAGAATCCTGACTCTGAGGAACACTCAAGTAGCACCTTGATGAATACAGTGTTCCACAAAATGTGGGAAGCCGTGAGAAATAGCCACCTATCTGGCCTGCCCAACTCTGAGACCCTTCCATGATGGCGAGACAGCCCTGGAAGCAGAGCACACAAGCGTCGTCTCCCACTTGCACACCAACCCCCAGAACTCACCAGAAACGGCATCTGGCTCAGGCTTGCTCCCTGACAGGTCCTCCACAGACGTGCCGCTGCCCTCAGCCCCCACGCCGCAGCCCCGAGGCCCCATGGCACTGGAGCGTCGCCGCTCGTGGATCTCGTCCGAGATCATCTCCAGGTTCTTCAGGGCCGTCTTGTACTCGCCTTTCGCCAGGGCCAGTTTGGCCTGCAGGTCATCCACGGTCTTCTTCAGTTGCTGGTCAGGAGAACGAGAGGCCCAGTAAGTGGAGGTAACCCCTACTGGCCTTGCAAGGCTTTTGAATGGCAAGTCCAAGCACAGTTTCTGCCCATCACTTCACTCCAAAGACTTCCCCGAGACATGCCTGATGGCCTGATTTCTCTTATCCAGCTATCCACACACCAGATAAAAAAAAGCAGCCCCACCAGCCCCAACTCCCATCCAGGTGACAAACTCAAGCTAACAACCAGAAACTACCACTGGCAGAACAAACCCCATCAGAGAAACAAGAATGGGTGTCAAACTCACAAACAAGTCCCACTTTCTAGCCATTTGGTCCCTTGTACTGTGGTTCTCAAACTTGACCGTGCATCAGAATCCCCTGGGGGCCTCTTGAAAACAGATGGCTGGGCTCACACCCGCAGTTTCTAATTCAGTAGATCTGGGGTGGAGGGGAGGGGGCTTGGGAATCTGCACTTCCTAGGCGATGCTGATGCTGGTCTTAGGAACCCCCGAGAACCACTGCCCCAGTACAGTACAGAAAGGGGCTGAACGGCAGACTGAACACTGCAGAGACCACTGAAGACCCAACCAAGACCATTTTGAGGCCTGAAAACTCAATAAAGAATGTGTTTCTCTCTCCATTCTCCTCTTGTAGCAAATATGCAATGTGCAAGCCCGCTACCACATAAAGTGGGACTTTGCAGGAAAATCCCACCAACAGCAAAGCCACAGAAGGCCACACGTACCTCAAGCTGCACGTAGTACTTGGCCTTGAGTTCAAAATAAGGCCTGTGGAAGACACAAGGAAAAACGGTAAGGGTGATCGAATACAATGACCCCAATGGACACCACAGGGCGTACCAGGGGCACAAGCTATGGCTGGCAGGCCATCCGTCCAGGAGGCAGTAAAGTCTGACAAGGCCATGAGATGAAGAGGATAATCGCAGCTCTGGAGCCTGATGGATACTGGTGCCAGTCAGAGCTGAGCTGACAAAGGGCGGCCCATCTCAAGATCTGTAGAACCCACACACGTGAACACTTATTCCGGGGTCCTTGTACCCTGGTTCACTTTCCTCTCTAGAAGGCTATTCAAGGCCAGCAGCCAAGGCAGCCCGGATCCCCTTCTCCCAAGGAGGAGATCGGCTCCCTCAAGAATGAAGAACAGAGGAGGCTGGAGAAGGGGCTGCCTCCAGCACCCTCCTCTGCTGGGGTCACCGGGGGAAGGGCGAAGCACCATTCCTCCCTCTCCAAAAGGTTGGGGGTTCGGACTGCTCCTCTTGGATTCTGTCCAGGGCCACAGGTATCAGTCTGCAGACCCAGCCAGGTCATGGGCAAGAGACAGGACAAATGCCAACATTGTACTGGTCCCCGCGTTTTGGGTCAGTCAAAAGCCCCTGGCTCTTTTTAGGAACTTTGGTGTCAAGCATTAAGAATAGACCAGTGCTGGGTGCCTGGGTGGCTCAGTTGGTTAAGCGTCTGCCTTCGGCTCGGGTCATGATCCTGGAGTCCCAGGATCGAGTCCCACATCGGGCTCTCTGCTTGGCGGGGAGCCTGCTTCTCCCTCTGACCCTCCCCCCTTCTCATGTGTTCTCTCTCTCTCTCATTCTCTCTGTCTCAAATAAATAAATAAAATCTTTAAAAAAAAGAATAGACCAGTGCTGGGCGCCTGGGTGGCTCAGTTGATTAAGCGACTGCCTTCGGCTCAGGTCATGATCCTGGAGTTCCGGGATCGAGTCCCGCATCGGGCTCCCTGCTCAGCAGGGAGCCTGCTTCTCCCTCTGACCCTCTCGCCTCTCATGTGCTCACTCTCTCTCATTCTCTCTGTCTCAGATAAATAAATAAAATCTTTAAAAGAAAAAAAGAATAGACCAGTGCTTCATTCTTGAGCTGTTCACTCCCTGTGAGAAGCTCTACAAAAGCTCGGAGAGGCCCAGCAACCGTGAATGAAGCAGGGGGCTTGTCCCCAAGATCATTACTGTGTAAAAATATATAGCAGTCGTGAGAAAAGCTTGCAAAAACCTCCATTAAAACCAGTCTTGCACCATCTCATCGGCTCTTGATCCACAGAGAATATGTACTGTGCACACAGCTCATCCCCGTTATGCTGACAGCTAAGCTGAAGGACACGGCTCGTCCATCCTGTCCACCACAGGGCCAAGGGCACAGAGTTTCCCAAAGCCCAGCCCCAGACCCCAGCCAATGAGCCAAGCTGATGGTGTGCTTTTCAGATTCCTTTTTCTGTGTCTCTCAGGTCGGGCACAGCTGGAGCCACCCTTCCTGCGTCTGGGGGTTATACACAACGTGGGGGGCTCTGAGGAGGCGGGTCCCTGAGCACATGGCACATAAGGGGTGGAGCAGATGCCCCAGAGGGGGACCATCACACACGGCACCAGGGGCCCACACGCCCAGACTCACTTGGACTTGCTGATGGCTCTCTTGAGTTTCTTCTCCAGCTGTCGCATGCGGCCCATGGCCGCGGTGTACCCGGCCGCTGTCTCCTTGTGCACCAGCTCGCTCCTCGTCTTGGTCTGCTCCGCCTCCATGACCTACAAACGACAGCAGACGTCAGCCTGGCCAGACAGTCCCTTGCTGGGGTATTTCTTTCTTTTTTTTTTTTTTAAGATTATTTATTTATTTGAGAGAGAGAATGAGAGAGAGCACAAGACAGGGCAGAGTCAGAGGGAGAAGCAGACTCTCTGCTGAGCAGGGAGCCCGATACGGGACTCGATCCAGGGACTCCAGGATCATGACCCGAGCCGAAGGCAGTCGCTTAACCAACTGAGCCACCCAGGCGCCCTGGGGTATTTCTTATATCACTTTTAAAAATACTCTCTGTGGGGCACCTGGGTGGCTCAGTTGTTAAGCCTCTGCCTTTGGCTCAGGTCATGATCCCAGGGTCCTGGGATCGAGCCCCGCATTGGGCTCCCTGCTCTGCGGGAAGCCTGCTTCTCTCTCTCCCACTCCCCCTGCTTGTGTTCCCTCTCTCGCTGTGTCTCTGTCAAACAAATAAAATCTTAAAAAAAAAAAAAAATTCTTTGAGAAAATCAGTGGACAGACTAAGATTAGACTAAATTCCAACTAGAAGAGGAGCGCTTTTCTCTGTTAAGCTGTTTCGGAAAAGTCTGGTCAGGTGAGAGGAAACCGCCAAGCCTCCCATGGCAATGCCTGGGAAGGAAAACAAGGAAAAGCAAAAATCAGAGAAAAGTGAAATATTCTCTGATTCCAATCGATGTCCACTTCCTTCTGCTCAGGGCTCCTGGCACGAAGTAGCCACTGTGGGCTCCTTGGCTCCTGCCTTGGCGCAGGGGCTGATGGGCACACAAATGGGCCAACAGCACCCGCAGGGACATCGAGGAATGGGGAGACCTAGTTAGCACAACCAGGCCTGACCGCATCGGAAGGGCCAGGCAATCCCCACGTCAGCTTGTTGGCCTTTTCCCAAATACCCTGCATTAGCCAGGGGGGCACAAAAGAATCTAGGATCCAGAAGGGCAAACTTTCCATTTAAACACATGAATATAAAGTCATTCGGATCAGATTCTGAGGTTCACAGACATGCGTGACCAGGACGCCCATCAGCATTCTGGCAGGAAATTCTGGTGGGCACATTTCAATAAAAATGAGTTTATAACCAACAATCAGGGGCCGTCGATGGGGCAGCTGAAAGGCGCATTCCCTGACACATGGAGATCATGGTCCTTTCGTCCCTCACGTAAAGAAAGTAGCAGAACAAGGCCTGCCTTGAGGAGAGAGGAGGAAGGAAACAAACGACGGTTTTGGCCACGTAACCAACTCGCCAGTTCTTTCCCGTCTTCTAGTGACAACTCACACTCGTGTTACCAGATGAACTGGAGAGGCAGGGCGAGGCCGGGCTAGCACCGGGGAGGAGCCCAGAGGGTCCCCAGCTCAGGGGTCACTCCCTCAGACGCCAGCAGGAGGCACCACCATGCCTTTAGCTTGGGGCAGCTGATGCCCTCCCTTCCCCTCCAGTCAATAGCCAGTCGGCCCTGAGAGAGCTTATTTATGCACTTACTTGTAAGAAGGATTTTTTTTTTTTTTTTTTTTTTAAGTGTCAGGGAAAATGGTGAAAGACTCAAATGAGCATCAAAACCTGCTGGGTGTCCTGGCTAGAGTGCCCTTCCAGGTCACCTTGGGCTCTCACTGTCTTGGAGCCGTTTTACAACCCTGTACTTATTAGAACCCAGGCAGTACTACAGAGGACTCTTATCCTGGAAGTTACGACAAATTGCACCCCAGTGGAGAGGGGTTCCGTGAGCGATCACCCTGTAAATACTGACCGATTCTGCATGCTTGCAAATTCATGTCCGCATCCCTGATTCTGTTTTAATTCTCCTCTGAAATAATTACAACAGCTTACTAGTCTCCTCCTTAATTAGGGAGTTAAATATATAAATGTAAATAAATATAAATCTAAAACATTCCAAATGTTATTTATCAATTATGCTTTTACCTTTTTAAGAATATATATATCTTAGCAAAGGCTTCGATGCCTGAGATACTTTTAAACAACAGAATTAAAACCGTGTCACAGAAGGGAAGTACGACGGAACGGATCTCAGCTGACGTGAGGTGACGTGCTTGAAGTGACTTCTCAGCCAAGCCCAAGGGGCTAAGAAACCCTCTCCCTCTGCTTCAAACACCAAAGATTTCACAATTTTGAAATGAAGTACACAAAAACCATCCCATACTTGGACACTTAGGGAAACAGCAGTAACTCTTTAGTCGTGTCTTAAATCTTAAGCATTAATAAGGATTTGCTGGCGTGACCTTCCTGAAAACTCAAAAGCTCAAGTTTACGGGACTGATGAAGCCGCCTATTGGTGGAGAACTGTTGCATTATGATCGAATGTGACACAGGGCTCCTCTTTAAGGAGTGGCGTGAAAGCATTTTAAATAGACCAATTCATAAAAAGCTGTGATTCGTGGCTACGGAACAGGAAGAGTCCCCACAAGAAGCAGGATCCACACTGGCTGCACACAGGCCCTCGTCTATTTCAGCCCCTAGTCTGCAGAAAGAAGCCAAGTCTGTCTGAAATTAAACACTCCGGAAGCTCTGAGCACTTGGCAATCTTGCCAGTGAAGACCCAGGAGGAGGTGGCGCACCTGTCACTGTCCCCTGCTTCACCCCTATCAGGCCATGCTGGCCATCTCCCATCTCAATCTGCACCCCCACATACACACAACTCCCAACTCCCCCAGTCCCTCTTTCCGCCTGCAGGGAGAAAGTCACTGAGCAGGGAGAAAGTCACTGGTTGCATGGTAACCAAGGAGCACCCCCACCTGAAGGCCAGCAGCAGGCACAAGCAGTAGTGGGGAAAGGCAGGGCAGGGAGGGCAGGGCAGCCCAGGAAGGCAGAAGCCACAGAGAACACCAGAAGCCACAGAAGAAAGCAACAAGGAAGTCCCTTAGTGCCTCAAGGCAGCCACAGGCTGGGCTGAGCAGCCAGACCGGCAGGTGCAACTCAGAACTGGGTACACACTGCCGTCGCCCTGGGCCTCCCAGGGCCACCCTTGCCCTCCTCCAGGTCTGGCTTGATTGCTATCTGGTCCAGACTCCAATCTCTGCAATGGGCTTTTCTTTGTCCCCATCATCGTCACCCACGGTGAGCCCCTGCAGTGTGCACAGAGCACCCCGGTGACGCCCCCGGGCACAGAGGTAGCCAGCAGCTGTGGCCACCACTCAAGGCGGCATGGGGTCGGGGCTCTCGGGAGGCCTTGACAGCAGAGGTGGCTCGTGGGCGGGCTCTTCAGGGTGGGCAGCCGGGGTAACGGACATGAAGGGAGGAAGCACGGCTGGCTGAAGGGGGCTTTATCAGCAGAGGCTGCAGCCCTTCCCTGCATCCGCGCGTCCCAGAGCCCCATCTGCCACCCCCGGTGGGATGAGCATGCAGGACTCAGCTTCCCGCCTCCCCCCTGGAGCTGGAAGGCTCCCAAAGGAGATGACCACATCCAGCAGGAACAGAGTCCTGCGCTCTGTCAGGATGGCCGAGAACCTTCTCCCCAGAGAGGGCCCGTCCTGGAGCTGCCCTGCCGGCCAGGGCCCGATGGCCAGGCTTGAGGCCTGCCTGACCTGAGCGGCCAGAAGCAGCACCGGAGGGGTCGGCTGCAGGAGAGCCGCGGCATCGAGCCCGGGCCGGCAAGCGGGCAGCGGGCCCTGGAGGCGGCACATGCAGGCCAGCAGCGGCCTGTGCTCAGGATCCGGGGAAAGACACAGGTCTCTGCCCCTCCTCCTGGGTCAGCAGGACAGAGAGAAACGTGGGTCTGGGAGTGCCAGCCCGGCCGCCTCCTGAAAGCCCAGGGGACCCTGCTCTCAGCCGCACGCCGCAGATGCTCCAACAGCGGGGCCGGCCTGCCTGGAGACCCGCGGGCACTGAAGGGGTGCGCCGGCTGGGCTGCCACCACCTCCTGGCCGGGCCCCAGGCCAGCAGAATCGCCGGCAGTGGCCGGAAGACACCCACCCGGCAGGGCTCCTCGCAGCCTTGGCTTCCGGCTCTGCCAACTCCTCGGCAAACCCCGAGGCATTCCCCGCTTGCCCCACCATCCTCGACGTCCCAGAGCCGAGATCGGGGCCCTCCTGTCCCCAGGGAAGGCGGTTTCGTGGTCTCCTCAGAACCTCAGTCACTGGCTCAGGCTGTTTTCGGATTCTGCTGCACCCCTGGGCGAGGGGGCCCCCGGAGGCGGTTTCTCACCGCCGTGCGGGAGGCGGGTGGCGCATAGCCAGCGGCGTCAGGGAAGCTGGCCTCGGCAGGCCTTGGATCCCCGCACCCAGGACGAGAGGCTGGCTCCGTGCCCTTTCCTCTCCAGAGGCCGCCTGCTGCCTGTTCGTGAACAGGTCACGCCTCTCCATTTCCAAGTGCCAGTTCCTTCTCCCTCTGCTCTCCTTCGGCAGGTATCAGAAGAGCCGATTCCTCTCCCCTCAGACGCCACGTCTCCTCTCCCATCTGATGAACAGCGATCACCTTCCCACAAAGGCTACTTCAAGGCCAAAATGGCCGAGGCTGGAGGGGCCTCTGCTGCCCAAGCCCCCAAGCAGTGAGCAGCAGGGACCCCAGGCCCTGTGTCCCCTGGAGGCCACTCAAGTGCAGGCTCAGCCTGCTCGGCCACTCTGCCTCACGTACTGCGGCTTCTAAGGCCCTCCGTGACCCCAGCCCCAAGCAGAGAACTGTCGCTTTGTCCTGTCGGTGGCATTACATGTGGCCTAACCGAGGACACTGGGACTCCTGGCATTGCTTATGGTTTCCCTGAATGCTGGCGTCAGCCATGGCTTTAGGGTGTGGCTGCCCAACGTCCCCATAAGCCTGAAGGGAACAAAGGGGACACACCGACAGCCTTAGACAAGGAACAAGGGTACTCACTGCAGTATTCCTCCACTGTCCCGGGGGCGGGGGGCGGGGGGCGCGGAGGGAATCACACGCAGCCCAAACCACTGCTGCTTCCTCAAGACATCCAGGACCTTCCTGAGCTCTGGGTCTCTGACCAGATCATCAAGCGGTGCTTTTTATGGAAGAAGAGGATGAGATGAAGCTAGCTCCCTTCTGAAGAAACGGGCTTCCTGGAGTATCCAGTTGTCAGACAAGGCAGGAGAGAGTCTGTACCCCTCCTTGTCTTCATCAACCAGAGCTGGCTGAGTGTGCCAGCCCCATGAGGTGTGGGGAGCAGGCAACACGAGCCCCATTTGGGGAAATGCTAAATCCAGAGGCAGATCCACAGCCAAGCCCAAAAGAAGGGTCTGTACCATCCATCAGATTCAGTGCGCCCCCTTCTGGGCTAAGTTTCTCAATAATGCCGGGACATGGTTGGGGAAGGCTCTGCCACCAGCTCTGTCTCTTGCTGGTGTCTGTTTCCCACTTTGCTTCTCCCTCAGCAGTTCAAACCTATGCAACCATGAAGGAATGTGGGGAAGAGAACAGGAGCCCCAGGGTGGAAATCCTGGCCTGTGACCCAGAACACAGTGGTTATCCCCACGACCAAGAAACCTCCAGTGACCTCAGTGAGGGCACACATCAGAGGACCCTCCCCAGGCCCTTCGGAGCCCGTGTGATCTCAGGAGGCCGAGGGCCATCCTGTACAGCCCCACTAGTTGTGCACTGCACCACCCCAAAAAGCATCACTCTCAAAGAGGATGGTACGAATGGTGCTCCTAAGAGTTGTACAGTGTGGAGGTCCTGGGACAACCTCTTCCTGACCAACCACTCACCAGCCACACTAGGGCCTTGGAACTTACAAAATAGGTTTAAAAAAGGCATAGACACGTTTTGTTCCTTTTTAAAGAAGAGATTAGGGGCGCCTGGGTGTTAAGGTGTTAAGCATCTGTCTTCAGCTGGGGTCATGATCCCGGGGTCCTGGGATGGAGCCCCGCCATCAGGCTCCCGGCTCAGCGGGTAGCCTGCTTCTCCCCCTGCTCATGCTTTCTCTCTCTTTCTCTAATAAATAAAATCTTAAAAAAAAAAAGAGAGAGTTTCTGAAATGAATTTTTTTTTTTTTTTAAGATTTTACTTATTTGACAGAGAGAGACAGCGAGAGAGGGAAAACAAGCAGGGGGAGTGGGAGAGGGAGAAGCAGGCTTCCCGCTGAGCAGGGAGCCCGATGCAGGGCTTGATCCCAGAATCCTGGGATCATGACCTGAGCCGAAGGCAGACGCTTAACGACTGAGTCACCCAGGCGTCCCTGAAATGATTTCTTAAGGCTGAGATCTCCAGTTGGGGTGGAGGGAGAACAAAAAGGAAGAGCAGGACTTCAATTTCTTGGAAGGATGTACTTTTTTGGGGGGGGGGGGGGTTCATTTCCACATCTGTCAAACTGTGGCTTGTAAATTTCCAACTTCTACTTTGGTTTTTCACCGGCTGACCCAGAAAAGCTATTCCAGCCCATGTTTGACTGAGCATCACGTCCCCTAGGGGGCAGGAGGCCCAAAGCCACACAGAGCCAGGCCAGGTATCTCAGGCTTCAGGGGAAGATGGTACAAAGATTTGACTTCAGTCATTTGTGTGTCAGGCTTTCTATTTAGGGAAGCACAAGGCCATCTTTAATTATCAGATCCCCTAGGACTTGAGCCACTGTGGCAGGGGACACTGAAAAGGGAGAGGCTGCTGGCATTAACTCCTGACTTTTCTATTCTAGCCCCACAGATGGCAAGACCTGGGGGGTTGCAACCCCTCCATGTAAGGCCTTCGTTGGAGCTGCCGAAGCCACGTGTCAGCTCTCCCAATCACCCTGCAGCAAATCAGCCCGGAGAAGGGGACAGGTATCAAGAATATTCTGTGTGACTCCTAGAACCCAGTGGAGTTAGGTAGAGGTAACAACTCCAGCTGAGCCAAGCAGCTGTCTTGATTCCGAGCAATGTGGTCAGAGAGCAGGTCATGGGAGCTGGTAAAAAGCCAAATGATAATGGCATAAAACCTAGGAGTCAAATCGGGGTAAAGGTCATACACAGCCCATTTCCCGTTCCCATGCTGGCTGCTTGAATCCCAGCCCAGCCCGGCCCAGCCCGAAGGCCAGACTTGAGTGCCCACTGGATTCTGGTCTCATCTATCATGGTCCCTACCGTCCCGCTAACAGTACACATACCCTGAGTCCAGGCCCCACGTGGTTTGGGGCTGTTAATCAAGGTCTTCCATCTGGGATTCTATACTCAGCCATTCCGCCTGGAACTCAGTGGGAACAGGCCCTGGAAAATAACCTGGTCCTTCTGTGAAGCCCAATCCACAGTCAAGACCTTCAGGGATGATCTGAACCAGACAAACCTCAAATGACACAGGGAAGAAACAGCTATACCCATGACTGGGGGACTGTCACTCTGAGAATGGCTTAGTACCATGCCAGCAGAGACCACATGGAGAGGCAACCTGTGACATTCAGCGAGCGTTTCTAGGCAACAAGCCTGGGAGTCTGTCTCCTCTGCTTGGGGACCGCACCCAGAGCTCATCAGGACCAGGAGGGTAGTCTGGATCACACAGACAAGGGGAAGTGTGAAGGATGCTCCCACACCCCACCCACAAGGGGGAGGCCCCCTATGTCGATGCCCACACACACGGACACATGCTCGAGACCCAGGCACACCCCCCACCCCCGGCCCGCCCGGCAGTGACTCATACCCTCTGGGTGGCGTGATTCAGCATCTCCTGCCAGGCTGAGTCGAACTGCCGTTTGTCATCCTCCAGCAGCCGCTGCTCAGCCAGGGAGATGGTTTCCTTGGCTGCACGGAGCACCTCCGTGGCCCTCTGGAAGTCCTGCGTGGCTTTCTGAGCTTCCAGCTGAGCCTGTGCAAGAAAGAACCCTGGTGAGGCCTCAGGAAATGACAGGGGCCCCCTCTGGGCCCATCACACCCTCCAAAAGATGAGCTTCCTGAGGGCTGGGAACTGCCTATTCCATCTCCGCCTTTCCAAGTGGGAACAGGCCTGGTACCTGCAGGGCCTTGTAAATGCTGGACAAGGGGACACGCGCCAGGTAGGCGAGTAGATGATTTTCACAGTCCAGGACCCAAGAGCCCAGATAAATATACCAGCTCTCGGTCAGAGCTGGAGATGGCAAGCCACAGGTATGACCACCCGTGGCCTTTCACAGAGCTCTCATTTGCTAATGAGGCCACGGTGGACAGATACAGCGGTCCCCAGTGCCATCCCTGCCTGGATCCATGGCTCAGTGCAAACATGTCAGAACCAGAAGGGCCCCCGGAGATCAGTCCAATGACTGTTCTACAGGTGGCCCCGAGGGACTCAGCCAGGCCACACGGAGCTGGCGGGAAGCCGAGCTGTGACTGGATACCAGGTGCTGCAAGTCCCACTAAGCGTGCCGTCACTCTGCCAGCCAGGCCGTCGCCCCATCCACACTCACCAACGGCGATGGGGAAGGAGTGAACAGTCACGACACCGCCCCCGCTTTCGAGGAACGTCAAGTGGGAGAAGGCACAGAAATCAAAGCAGACCATACATTAGACCGCCACCAGTCACGAGTGGCTAGCAAGCACTGGAAATGTCCTTAATCCACTGAGCGTAGAGCACCCCAGATTTTAAAGACTTAGTAGAATTGTTAACAATCTCAATTTTCATAACGTTACATGAGGAAATGATAGGATTTTGGATGTACTTGGTTAAAGAGACCCATCTTATTAAAATGAATTTCACCTGTGTTTTGTTTTTTTTTTTTTTTAAACTGTAACTACCAGAAAATTTAAAATGACATAGCTGGCTCACATTCTACTTCTTTTGGACAGTAAACACATCTCCCCCAAGAGTGGCCCATGAGATTGCATCAGGAATTCGCATCAAAACCCTCCGGCCCCCACTCTGAACTTCCCAGCGGAGCACAGCGCTGGCCCGCTGCAGTGTCCCACCCACCCACCCTCGGTCAACCAGAGCAGTTACACAAGCCCCGGGGACATCCACGGGGTAGCCCCCGGGACTCAGGAGAGAGGGGAACAACAGGGGCCCCATCCAGCCCAAGTGAGTCTCACATGACTTACAGGAAGTCCTGGAGAACCACAAGACAAAGACGGTGAAGGGGAACAAAACAGACTCGGAACAGCAGGGGTGCCACTCTGAACAGCAGACACATGCTGTGTCCTACCCTCGGGGAGGACGATCTGCTCAGGGAACAGACACAGGCATGGAGAGGACATCCAAAGTCTGTCCCACAGAGCTGTGCCCCAGAGCGCCGTAAGAGGGAGGGAGATACGGACAGTAGGAGGGTGTGCAGGACAAATTATTTCCAGGAGAGGGAATCCAGGGCTACTTCTGAAAAGAGGATGATCCGGAACGGAGGACTGAAGGACAAGATGACCTGAAAAATGCAGGGCTAGTGGGGGGCCAGGAGGAAGCAGCCTCGCAAACCGCAGTATCTGCGGGAGACCTTGACAAAGACGGGGATCAAAGTTCCAAAAGATAGACGATGAAGACTGAGTAATGCATGGAATTGTTGAATCTTTATATTGTACACCTGAAACTAAAATAACACTGTAGGTTAACTACACTAGAATTAAAAATAAAAATAGAATAAAATAAAAAATAAAAATATGCATATTGCCATCAAAAAAAAAAAAGTTTCGAAAGGAATCAAGAGTGGGGGCTGAATGACACCAGGCTAATGCTTCAACCAGCAGCCCAAGGGCCTGCCTGCCTGCAGCGGACTGCTCTGTGGCCCTGGGCCACATGGCCATGCAAGTGCGTCTCCGCGACACGGGGCCCGGCCCTGCAGAACTGCCAACCCACCGCACAGTAACAAGACAGCACGACACGCCGCTCCAGCCCCCGGGCCTCCAGGCCAGCCTGTGGATGTCCCGTAAGAGAACAGCCCGGGTGGCGCCCTCCGCCTGCCTAGCTGCACTCCCCGGGCAAGTGGGGCAGCACGGACACCTGTCGCTTCTAAGCTGCCCCCCACCTGCCCCACAGACCACCTACCAGCTTCGAACCGACACCAGAAGACAATAAACAATTAATCCCACAGGATTCTAACATTTCCCAAGGTGGGATGTGTATTTGTGTTTTTTAGAAAAATCTTAGTATTTCAATTCAGCAACATTTAAGGGTAAACTCTCTACCCCCAGGTCTCCCCGCTTGAATTAGGAAGCTTTTCTTTCTTCAAAGGAAAGAAAGAGCTGAGATGTGGTTGCTCTACCACAGACCCAGCACCTCTTCGCCTGCTATCTCCGTCTGATGAGTTCATATAAGGGAGCCAGAGATCTCTACAAAGACGGGGGTAGGGCGCCTGGGTGGCTCAGTTGGTTAAGCGACTGCCTTCGGCTCAGGTCATGATCCTGGAGTCCCGGGATCGAGTCCCGCATCGGGCTCCCTGCTCGGCAGGGAGTCTGCTTCTCCCTCTGACCCTCCTCCCTCTTGTGCTGTCTCTCATTCTCTCTCTCAAATAAATAAATAAAATCTTTAAAAAAAAAAGACGGGGGTAAAGGAGTCCCATCTGAAGGGGCCTTTAGAAGAACATGCTCTCTGTCAGGTTTGTTGAGTGTCTGAATTTTCCACGAGGCTCCTTCGCTCCTGTACGGTAGTATCAGAAACGTCCCTGCCTTGTCATATCAAAGATCTAATATGAGGCTTCGGTCAACCTTTGACCCACAGAAACCGGATGGCATCTCTCCATCACTTGCCCACCTACTCATTCATTCAAGTAAGTATTGGGGGGCTCTTCACTTCATCTTTCCTGGGAAGAGAGCCTGTATGTCCCAGGGTGAGGCAATGTGCCAGCTAAAATCCCTACTTCCCAGCTGTGAAGATAGCTAGTGCCCTTCTAACTTCCAGCTAATGAGATATAAATGGACATTGAGTGAGCCTTCCAAGAGGACTGCTTTGTATTTCCATTTGTGATATTAACACAATGTCTGGTGCTTCAACAGCCATTTTGGGTCATGAGGCAACCCTCCTAAGGATAGAGGAAAAGTAAGTTAGGATTGTCTACCTCAGGAATTTTTAAATGACAGAAAAAATAAAGGCTCACGTTTAAGCCAGTTTTCTGTTAAATTCAGCCAAATCTAAACCTAAATGATAATACATCTTCCCCTCTCTACAGCTGAACTATTCTACAAACCTGACCAAAGTGACTACAGCAACTAGCATAGACTGGTCGAATCTCCCTCAACTTCTTTTTCTTTTCTTTTTTTTTTTTAAGATTTTATTTATTTATTTGACAGAGAGAGAGAGAGAGCAGGAGAGGGAACACAAGCAGGGGAAGTGGGAGGGGGAAGCAGGCCTCCCGCTGAGCAGGGAGCCCGACGAGGGGCCCAATCCCAGGACCCCGGGATCATGACCCAAGCCGAAGGCAGACACCCAACAACTGAGCCACTCAGGCACCCTGAATCTCAATTCAACTTCTTTCTGGCTGCTCCCAGCCCGTTTTACTACTAATAAACCTGAGGAACCAACCTTTTGGAGATTCCTAAATAATCCCAGAGCTCATGGCCTCTTTGTAAGGCATTTCATCAAACATTTTCTAAAACCTTCACAAGGAAGGACCAGGCTGGTGTACACACAACGGGAGGGAGCATTCTATCATACCCTTGCTCCAGGAACCTCCTGGAGACTAATCTCTGGAGAGGAGGGGCCCACCCCAATATTAGGGGTTCCAATTCAGTCGGGAGAATAGACACATTCGATACAAGATAGATTCCGACAGCAACAGAGGTGTAAAGTGCTGTGGGACCGTAGGGAAGAGAGAATGATTCGTCAAAGTTTTCCCAGGGAAGACCCGGCAAAAGAGAGGGTGTCGGCACCAGGCTAGGTCATGGAAAGACAGGAGGCATCCGTGAGTTTACACACACATCTACCTGGGGAGGGTTAACTCCGAGATTGCTTCCCAGTGTCATAATGGGACACAAGACCCCAAAATCAGAAGCTGACTTAGCAATTCCAACAGGGGCTGGCTAGCTGGTTCTCACTGGTGTATGAAGGAGGATACCCAGAAATCTTGGGCACAACCAATGCCAACAAGTTTTACCTTCAAACTCTAAAAAACGACCCAAGCCCTAGTATTAATATATTACTCCCAGTGTGCACAAATCAGACAGAGAAACCCAGTTAGCAAACTGAAGGGCTGAGGGTCTGCTTAGAAGAGTACTGACGAGGTAAATGTTGGGGGAGCTGGGTTTTAGCTCTAAGATGCAACACAGGAAAACTTCGAACATCTTCATGACTCATGGATACTAATGACTTTCATGGAAACAGCTCTCCGGAAAGAATTTTATTTTATTTATTTATTTTTTTTTTTAAGATTTTATTTATTTATTCATGAGAGATAGAGAGAGAGAGGCAGAGGCAGAGGGAGAAGCAGGCTCCCCGCGGAGCAGGGAGCCCGATGCGGGACTCGATCCCAGGACCCTGGGATCATGACCTGAGCTGAAGGCAGACACTTAACCGACTGAGCCACCCAGGCGTCCCTCCGGAAAGAATTTTAAAAGGCTGTTCATGAATGAATTTGCTAAGTGACTTTCATTAGACTGGCCTGCGGCCAGCTGTGACTATGAGGGCCTCACACGTGTGAGTGTTCCACGGTGTCACCAATGAGGGGAGGGGGGAATGGAGTGGAGAGGTCCGCCAGGAGAAGGGAGAGGCTGCAGTCCCGGCTGTCCACTAGACTTCCGGCCCAGCCCATGTTTGGGCTCAGGAAGGAAGAGTATCTGGACATTTGCACTGGTTGCAACAAAGGGTCGGGGTAGAAGGAACTTTCCAGACCAACCAGTTCAAGGCCTTCATTTTTCAAAAGGTGACTCAGAAACGCAAGACAACTTGCTGAATGTCACACAGCTATTTAGTGCCTG